TTAATTTTAAAAGCCTGCCTTCATAAAATATTGATGCAAGTGAGGCAATCACGAGAAAGGTCAATAAACATTTTTTAGAGAGCCCCTGTTTTTGAATATTTTAAGCATGCGCCTCTGACATTCTGAATGCGTGTGTTTGTGTATCGTAAACAGAAGCAGCAACAACGACTACAACAACAATTAATATTGCTTTTATTTTTATTGTAAGCTGTAAATTTTTGAAACAACGTTGCCGACGCTGCTGACATCGTTCGACGCTGACCTTCTCAAGTTTGTTTGTTTGCCTTGTTGGCGCTGCTCTCAGCCTCAGCTTTTGATTTGCTTTTGCTTTTTGTGTAGCTTTTTTGCTCTTTGCTTTTGCTGCATGCAAGCGAATGGAAAACGAACTGGGGCCAAAGTTTTATATGTTTGCTCAACTTGCCTGGGACCTGCCCTTGCCCCCTTCGCCCCTCCGCCTCTGAAAATGCTGCGTGCAATGCTCTCGAAATAGAAATCCATTGGGGACGCCTTGTGGAAAATCAATTTCAATTGTCTCGCACTTATCAAAAATGGAAAAAAATTGGAAAAAATCGGTTTCGGTTTTTCATTTGCACTTAGCAATTGAAAATTTCAATTGTAAATAATTGTTTAATTATCGACAATTGCAGCTGAATGACTGAGAACCGTTCATTCGACAGACAACAAAGCGTTCGTTTAGCCAGCCTGCGTCATGGTTACCCCTTCCACCCCCTTTTCCACCCACTGACACCCATTAAAAGGCCATAAACCGAAATCTGAGTCACGGACTGCGGTGATGGAGAAATATGTGCATGGCTTTATATATGGGATAATTAAAGACCCGCAGCCGAATGCCAAATGCGATGTAATTACCATGTATTTCACTCGATGCGTATGTCTAATTAACCACACGGCGTATACGCAATCCATATTACGTACACGCCGTGTTGTCTGCTAGCCCATTATGTACATAAATTATACATCAATCAGTATATGGCAGTCTAATCCGATTGCGATTGCTTCCCTCGAAAGTATTTCTTTCTATGACCATCTGATGGTATCGGATATCTGCACAGAAAAAAAATCGATATGAGGTAGGTTCGTTTCTACCTTATTTCATATCAAAAACAGTCGATATGAATAATGTCAAATTTATGATTTAAAAATATCAGCTTGATATTTTATCATTTCATAAAAGTTATAAAAATACTGTTCTAAATTAATTTTTTTGAACAAATATTGTAAAACGAGGTAATTACAATCTTTATTTATATTATTTTGATCTTCAAAAATATTAAATTATCTGATCATTTGTAAATTTTTTTCTGTGTGGTACTGCACGGAAAAAGCAAACAATTTATCTATGACCAAAATGAACCTATTATTTTTCAGTGTGTGTCTCTAAGACTTTGGCAATCTCTGCCGGAATACTCAAAACTAGTTATGTCTGCAACTGCAATTGTCTGCCGGCCTGGCCGTCCGTCATCTTCTCTGCTCCACTTAGCATTATTTTCCAGCTCCAACTTTCCAATCGGAGCCACTAAAACACTCAAAGTTTGTCGGTTTGCCCCCCTCGGTTATGCACACCACTACCATGAATATACCAAGACGACATCATAATTTGCTGGCCCAACCTCGAGCGCATGACAAGTTGCGCCTGCCAGGCGATGCGATGGCCATGTTCAATCCGACTCCAATAACTGACAGCCGCTTTGTCTAGCTCTCTGGCTCTGGCCAAGACTTTCACCGAAAGCCGAATGGAAAGAGTGGTAAAACCGAGAAAGACAAACAGAAATGGCCAGAAATCCCTAACCTACCACACCTCAAAAGCTCAGAGATCTGAAAAGAAGAAAGGCAGTTAAGGCGACAGCATAAAATGGCCGTAATCAAAACAAATCAGCGAACGTAGACTTCATCATGCTGGGCCATCAATCATGGCCAAAATGAAACGGTCGATGGTCGACGAGTTGAATGCGCCAAACGCGTCGCAGACAAAACGGGAAAAAAGAAGACAACACACGAATAAAGAAATCCAAAACAGTTGCCACCAAATCCTCCCGATACCTCTACACAGAAAATAAACTCAGAAAAATGTATCATATCATTTAAAATACCAAATTAAGTATTTTTTGAACTAATAATGAAAAATAAGATAAACATAATCTCTATTCATATTAAAATAATATGAATAACTTGATCTTAAAAAAATGTAATATTGACAAGCACATATCATTCTGATCTTTTGTTAATTTTTTTTCTGTGTACGATCCCCACAAGCCCCAAAGTTATGGCCAACACACACAGAGTCGTCGACTTGTGGTCAGAATGGCTAAGGGAATGGCCAAGAGAAAGAGAGAAAGACTATCGGTGGCACAATGAAGTGTTTAGTAAACAAATTGCGGTTGCCTTTTGATAATACGCAGCTCAGCTTAGCACTCAAATGGAAGCTGTGGGGAGCTCTTTTTGTGGTGCGAGTTAAACGATGCACAGCCAAGTGGGCGTGGCTGTGGGGGTGGCGGTGTCGGTGGCGGGATGAGCTAAGTTATAAGTGCATTGCACCGAAATATCGATTGACGGAGCAGCTGGAGCAGCAGGCAGCAACAAAAGACGGCAATCAACGCTGGCGGGTTCAGACATTCAACTTAAAATGCGTGTGTGTGCACTGAAATTAAGTTTTTCAGTTAAAAAGGGGAAAATGTGTTATAATTAATTGTTGAAATTATTAGATTTCTGGGTAATTAATTTTAGTTTTAAAATACCTGGCGCTTTTTTGGCTCAGGTTGAAAACGAAATAAAAATAGAACACCTTTAAAAAGGCCTGCAATAAGCGCCTCTACAATTTATGGGTCACTAAAAAGCTTATATACTTAAACATACATCAAAAAGCTTTTAAAATTGATGATTTGAAATATAAGCAATAAATTACAACCTTTATTCAAGCTAATTTCAAGTTAACTGCATTTATTATTTTTATCTAAAAAAGTCAAAAATATCTAAATATTCCTTTGAAAAAACCCCGTAAATTCAGGGCACCTTTTCCCTCCGTGCACAAAGTTTGCTGGAGCATATTAAAAGGACATTGAATGTGCGCGGGTGGAAGGATGGTATCGGGGGTTTAAAGAGAAGGGGGCTCCAGTTCGGTCGGTTGGTTGGGCGTTGGCGTTGGCGCTTGACGGCATCAACGTCATGCAAAAAACCAAAGGGAAACCATAAACTCAAATTAATGACCTCGGCAGGGGGAGTTGGGAGGGGCACTCGGTCGGAGTCAGAGACAACGGACAAATGCTGAAAGGCGAGACAGAAGCCAATAAGACCTGCAAGAACAACAAAGCCGTGGAGCGGACCAAAATATAATAATAATAACAAAAAGAATACCAAGACCAAGAAAACGACTAAGAAAAGACGAAAAAAAAAAGAGTCCAAGTCTGGGCGTGATTTACCGTTAACAGTTTTTTGTTGTTGAAAATTAATCTTATTGCAGGCGATTTCACTGCGATTTTCACTGCACTCCACTCACATACAGCCCTCTAGAAAACATATAGATGGTAGATATATACAAATTGGAGCTGCTCCAGAGCAAAAGCGGCAGATGGTAGATGGTCATGGAGAATCGGCTCTTTGGTTTTGGCTCAGTTGGCTCCGTGATTATGCAGTCGACGTCGCTGCTGCCACATCGTCGTCGTCGTCGTCACAGTCGATTTGTTGTCAAACTGGTTTTACAAATATTTTGCGTTAATCTGGAAGCCCCAGCGATGAGGAGGCTATAGAAGGGAGGGGGGCGCCGCCGTAGCAGTTACATTGCAGTCGAGTAAAGCTCAGTGAAAGTCGGCGCAGTTCCCCTGCCGAAACAACCCCCCCGTCAATCCAACAGTTTTCCCCTTTTTGCCAGCTAGTTAGCTCGCAGCACATTCAATTAGATTTAGTATAGGTATAGGTATAGCCATAGCCATAGCTTTTGCCCTGGCTTCCCCCGTTTGTTGGATCAGCTCATTCATGGCTCGGTATTTACAGCCAATTATGAGACAAACAAGTCCAACTAGCTGTTCAGCGATGTCATCGTGACACGAACGAGATTCTTGAAATTATTGATTTTGAAATGTGGAAAATGTAAGCTAATTAGACTTATGAAAAAAAAAAAAATCAAGGGTTTATTTTTGATAACCACACCAAAGAAAAACACGCGTGGATCAAATCGATATGCACATGGTAAATTTCTTTTATTTATACGCATATTGTTTTACCATGAAATACTGGCAAAATTGATATTAAATATGGCTTTTGAACCAATAACCTTAGTTAATCTAATATAATTCGTTTAAAACTCATCAAAAATGCAACTGATAATGGTTTTAGATATATTAAAATCGAATTTGTAAGACATTATTCCATATTCAATATCCCAAAAAGCGTTAGTTCTAAAATTTCTGATATTCTACATTGTTGTTTTGCCCAGGGAACGTAACTGTTATAAGTTTTATTTAAAAAATCACACTTTAACAGTTATTTTCTGATTTGTAAAGTAAAACTCAAAGAATAACTGTTATTTTTTGAGTTTTATAATAAAAGTTGACAAATAACAGTTATTCGTCGTGATCAAACATAAAACTCAAACTTGATTTATGGCGATTTTGTGGGTAAACAAAATTTTAAAAAAATATAGGCGCGGTTGCCTTTTTTAACAAATTTTTAGTAAGTTATAAAAAGCACGGGTATCATGTTTTTTTTAATTATGTCATTTTTTCAAAAATGTCAAGGGAATAACTGTTATTCATAAAAATCAAAAAATAACTGTTATTTTTTGAGTTTTATTATAAAAATCAAAAAATAAAAATCATTACGGATTTGTAAACTACAATGGCTAATAAAAATTGTGGTGTATTAAAAAATTTTTAGGACCCTTCTAAGTGCGTGATTTTTTTGTATGAAAAATTTACAATAACAGTTATTTTCGTTCCCTGGTTTTGCCTAATTAACACCTCTTTAAGTTATTTTACTTGACTCACCTGGGCATTAAAGTCGAATAGGTATTCGGGGCGCAGCGGACACGGCAGGCCGCACTTGCAGGTACCCTGGGTGAGCAGATAGTCCTTGATCTGGAACTGCGTGCGCAGCGTTTTGCCCGAGGGGCTGTAAAAAAGGTTAAAAAGATAAATGCATTAGTGGATGGGCGAGATTAATTAATTGAAGGCAGCCAGGCCGTTATTCACCCGCTAAACGCACAATTTGTTTTATGGAAATTATGCAATTACCCAAGGCCAGTGTTTTAAGCAGACACTTTAGCCACCCACCAACACCCACCCACCCACTCACTATAGTCGAGCGACTATCCCAATAGACCAGGGGCAATTAGCCGCAGTTAAGTGAGTACAGAGGCCAATGGATAATGGTCGAGTGCTTGATTAGCAGCTCATTAACATAATGGGCATTAACATGACAATGTAAAGTGATTCGCGCATAAATTAACTCCAGTCAGAACCGATCGCAAGGCAAATAAGTTCGCGTCGATCTGCGCATAATTCAAACTGGTTTGGCTTTTGCGTTATATATTTAGTTATTTGCGACCCTTTCGGGAAACTACGTAATGATACAGTTGGCATTCTGTGAGGTTTTTCGGATTCTGTGACTGGAGTTTCGGGGTGATATGTCTTGAGAAAATGCGCAACAGATAAATACGATATGTGAGTGCGACAAAGGGAAACATCTTGGGGGAAACTCAACATCTGCGAGAACAAAGGCGATCTCATACATATGCACATATTTAGCGATCCGAAAAAACGCGCCTATGCGCCATAAAATTATGAAAAGGCAAAAAATTGATTTAAATTTCGGTCACTTAATGCCTAAAAAGGAAGGAAAGAAACCCGGCGAATCCAGTTTTAATAATGCCAAGCCCCTTGCAGAATGGAACGGGCGGTTTTCCCTTCGCAACGCAAGTTAACCCTTTAAAAAAAAACCCGCTCCCTCCAATCAGGCCACGCATGACCGCAAATCTGCCGACATAAATGTGTTGTCGCATGAGCTGGGGTTACTTCGATATACTTTTATACAAAAAAAAAGAAACCAACACACTCGTACGCAAAATAAAGAACAAAAAAAACGAAACCAGAGGGAAAAAATCGGAGCTGCTTATTAATTGTAAAGTGTGAGCACGTTGAAGGAATCAAGGGCGCTGATGATGACGCCGTCCAAGGAAAGGAGCTGAGGCACTCGAGAGACTGATGCCAGGGCTCAAGTTCGCCGCAGCCCCTCACTTCCTCTGACCCTGGAGAACCGAAGGTCCACACAGAGAGAAAATGTTATATAAAATTTAAGAAAATGTTAAATAATATAAGAGTCTTTATATTGGAAATTTGGCCGAACTGTTATTTTATAGCAAAGTACGCCACTTGAAAATTCGATTACAAGAGAAGAATAACACCCCCGCGGCTTTATTTCTTCATGTAATGACTTAAGAATTCGCGGTTCGACGAGAAAAATTTGTTTGCAAAATTCGTGGGTAAGAACCGTAAACTAGAGACTTACCAAAAAAAAATTTTAAATAAATATTATGTTTTCCGAAGTAATTAGAAATCTCGGGAAAGTGATATTTTTGTTTTTAAGCTATAAGAAATTAGATGAAGATACTTGAGTGACAAAACAATCCACTCATTATTATAAATTGTAGTGTTACTCATTTTTATACGTTTAAAAAAAATGTATTTCGTAAAGTAAATTAACAATTTCCGATTTTAACCATTTTTCTCAGCGTGCTGGTGTTTCAAGACCGTATGGGAAATCTGAATAATGCATGAAGTGTGAAAGCGGCAAGGGCATTAAATGAAACGACGACGACAGCAACAGGAGCTGTGAGCTCTGAGTTGAGAGATGGGCGATGGGAGCTGGAGGAACAGAACAGCAGAGACAACAATATAATTGAGCGACAGCAACATACAACAGCAACACAGGGACGACAGCGACAGCAACGAGAATCGTGTTACGGGTTAAACGAGTATGCGAATTGTCAATTGAGTAGCCCTTTTAGCTGGCCAAACAGGAGATGCCTCCGCATCTCGCATCGCATCTCATCTCAGTTCCCATTTTCGCAGTTGCAAGTCCGCAGCATAATCATCATCAATGGGGTAAAGGAAAAGGAAACTGGTTCTGGTTTGTTTTATTAATTATTTTTAACTACTTACGAGGGCCAGAGCTTTATGAGCGACTGAGCCACGTTCGAGATTGGAAAAATCGATGGCAAGTCGATTGCCAGACATCACGAAGGACTCCGACTTCGCCTTCGACTTTGACTCCGAGTGAGACAGAGGCAGGGAGAATCGATTGAGCGGGACGGCGAATCATCAACGCCAAAAGCTTATGGCTCAATTTGTATGCAGCTGGCGTGGCGAGAGGCTTAAGAGCCCACCGCTTACTGCTTTCTGCTTACCACTTACCACCGCAGTCGAGGCGGCAGGGCAAACACGCAGCAGGATCCGTGCACAGCGAAAAATTAATAGGCTTTAAGAGGCATTTAAGGGCACGTCGTTGCTGCTAACACATAATTGCAATCCTTTAAGCTCAGTTTATGCCATTAAAAACTAAAGACATCGCGTTATAAATATATATTAATAAGAATTCCTTTTTATTTAATATTTCTTCTGACTTTTTAACTTTTAAAGAAATTTAGTTTTACCTCTACTTTTATATTCTTTCACACTTTAAATGAAAATCCTTAATATTCACACACAAAAAAAACACATCGTTCTCAAATCGATATGCACATGGTAAATTTCTGGTATTGCATATGCATTTGTCCTGTTGTTAATGCAAAATTGATACCATATCAATTTTTTTTTGGGTGCACTAATAAAGTCATGATTTTTATTTTCTCTGTGGCTGACTAATAAGTCGGCAACTCATTAAATTTTTTCTTTGCATCGTACTTTATTTTTTCTGTGGTATTTGCACAAAATGCGGTAATATTGTGAGTGGCTGCATGGAACTCCCTGGGCCCTCCGATCCCTGCCTGCCCACCCTACTTTCCCGCTCTGTGGCCACATGAAAGGCGTTGGGCTAACGAGTTAAAATAATTTAATAAATTGCACACACAAAACGCCAAGTGCCAAAGAGTTGCTGTCGAGTGGCCATCCGCACATCGCCCATCAACCATCCGCCATCAAGCATCGTCTTGTAAAAGACCCTATAACTGTGTGAAAAGGTGGAAAAGTTTTACGCCCCGGTGACCTTGAGTGCACCCTCGAGCCCAGAAAAGAGTTGAGAGTGCAGACGGTTGAGACTGCAAATGGGATTGGGATTGAGAATGGGAGTAGAAGTGGAAGTGGATTGGGTGTTGGCCTCCAGCAGAGACTGAGCCTATTACTAAATTAATAATCCCAAACAGCGCAAACACAAAACCGACAGCAACAGCGACTTAACTTGGCCCAAAGGCAGTGGGCCAGCTACGCCGTGGCGCATGAAACTGTAAAAAATTATCGCACAAAGCCAGCCAGACGGAGGCCACTGCCCGAGGAGGGGTCTCAAACAGTCAGGCAGATGGGCAGTGGGACCTCCAGCCAGACAGACAGACATCCTTTGGGCCGGGACTTTATCCGCTGTCCTTGTGCCGTCATGTCCTTGACAACGCGAAAAGAAAGCGAGGAGCGAACAGCCCACAAAAAGGGACGAATGGGGCCAATCGCAAAATGAATCATGCCCACGCAGAAAAAATATGTTCCAAAGGGAGTTGCCCTTTTAAGAACCATCGATTTTTATACCATATACAAGTATTTTGATATGTTATAGTTTTTTAAAAAATCTCTTGAGATATATGATATTAGTTTTTCATTTAAGCTTACTAAATTAATTAATATAAACCTACAAAATGGCAGATTCATGATATATCAAATGATACCAAGTATATATATTCACTTACTATATATAAATTTTTGGAAACATTTGAGGTAATTATAAAAAAGACAGCTGTTAGTCAGCCAAATTTAATCTGCCGCTTAATTCCCAGCTCTATCCCTCATTATCGCCAACTCCCATGAGTCAGGCAAAGGCTTTTGGGGTAAAACTTTGCGGGCTTTTCCCACGATATCAGCAACGACAAATTCGCATGGTGGGCGTTGACCAAAGTCAACAGGCCAGAGAGCCAGCGCTAAGCTGGCGGATTCGCAACAAATGCCTAAATGTGAGTAAAATAAACACATTTCAAAGGTCCGTCCGTCTGAGTTTTATCTGTCTGCCACTCCGGCTGACTGACAATGGAGCGGAGGTGGCCTAGACAAACAGAGGAGGGACCAACTGCTGATGCAACCTACGCGTCCGCTGAAAGGTTCGGTTCATCCCGAGGAAGCAGGGGGGAGGCAAAAAAAAAACAGGCTTCGTGGCAGGGTGCACATGCACACACACAAACGTTAGTTGGGAAAATTGAAAACTGCTCGAATCGCAGGCAAAACTATTCCGCATTCTTTACAGTTTATACAGGCTGGCGGGGCGCTTCCACTCGATTCGATCGGCGATCTCCAGCTGCCGTTTTGGATTTATGATTTATGCGCCCGTTGCCGCACAGTGGGCGTCCTTTCCTGACTCCGTTTGGCTTTGACCCGGTCACAGTCTTTACTACTTTGCTTCGCCCTCTGCTGATGTCACGTTGCGCCAAGCCATTTACGCTTGAGCAAACAACAACGGAAAAAGCAACAGCCAAACAAGATTTAAATGCTTGCGCAACAATTATTGATTTAGTACACAATTTGTGCAACATTCTTTCCAAGAAATAGCCGAAACGTAGCCAACGAGCGAACTACTCGCGGCAAGGACGGAAGCTAAACAAAAAGCGGTATTCATTGTACCCCAGAGCTGCCGGTTTGGCTGTTTAAGGAGTTTAGAAAAATATATGGAAAATATTTACCATAAATATTAGGTTATTGGAGGAAAATAAAACAAGAGGGAACGCTAAAATCGAGTAGCTCGACAATCAGATACCCGTTACTCAGTTAAAGGATGTGCAACAAATCAACTGCTTGCAGTGCTTGAATTTTATGATTGCTCATAACTTTTTAGTAAATGTTCCGATTTGAAAAAATCTTTTACATTATAATAGGTATTAATAAACACAAAAAAATTGCATTTAAAATTTTTGGGAATCTAAAAAGATGTGGGCGCCAGACACTTTTTAAAATATATGATACTTTAAGGGACATTTTTGATATTTTTTAAACAATAACCTTTTATTCTTTTTGATTGACCGGTTTAAGGAACAGCTACCCTTTTAGTACCCCTTTTTCATTGTATTTACTTCTAAAAGACACATATATTTTTTGCAAATTTCCAACAATTGTTGTCACCCGAATTCGGACAACACCGCTGGCGCAGCAGACGGGTTATCTGACTTACCGAAACACGAAAAAGAATGCTCAGCTCGCAAATTTGCAAGGGGGCCATGGCGACCGTTCGCTTGGGCAAACAGCAAATAGCAACCGGCAAACCGATGAAACCCTGCAGCAACACGCAACGTGGAAATGAGCAGCAGCTGCTGTAGTTGCTGTTGCTGGTGGACAATGACAACGCTTGACACACGATGTCATGTCGTCGCTGGGCACAAGTAAATGCCAGTGGGCAAAGGACGTGGCAGCCAGCGGTGCCCTCAAAGTGTGCCCTTCCATGGAGGGGTAATGGCCCAAAGAGTGACTAGCTGACTGAGTGAAATGTGACATTGCCGGTAAATGGACTGCGTCGGATAAGCTGCAACTTCTTGACGCTCCAAGTACGTGAGTCGAGTTCCAAAGCCCAATAATCATAATGATGGCTGTCATAATGAGAATCTCGGCTTGGAACTTGGAACTCGAAAAACAAACACAGTTTTGCCCCCCGGTAAGCTTTCAATCTGCCAATCGAGCGGGCTATTCGCAACCATAATCCTTACAAGTGGTTCGAAAAGCAGTTATCCCAGCAGAACCCACAACCCTTTCTGGGCAAATGAGCCTTGGGCAACAGCTGCGAGGGAAACTATCCCAGAACGAGACGAGTCAAGCACTCAGAAGTGCCAGCCACTTATAAAATCAACAATTACCCAACATCGGCAACAACACGGCCACAAGCTGGCAAACTGTTTGCGCAGAGCCCAAAAACCGGGGGAAAAACACTGTAGCCCCCCCCCCGTTTTTGGCCCTGAGGCAAATTGGACAGCGAGAACAATTACAAGTACCCAGGGCATGCTTTTCAGCATATCTGAGTAAACATTTTATTTGAGTTTGTAATTATGTGTGCTTGATGATAACTCGCAGATAATGCCAGGTAAATATTTACCCTCGAGTCGTTGATGGTTGCTAGTTGTTGCCATTGTGCCTTGTTGCAAAAACATTTCTGACACGACTACTGCAACCCCCCAGACGCCCACTAAACAACAAGTATGTATGTATCGCCCCCCTTCGCCGCCTCTGACCCCCTTGGACAGTGGCATTTCCTGTACCGACCGAGGGGATCGCTGAACATTTTTATGGCTTCTCGAATGCGTTTGCGTTCGCCAGACAATAACCAGATTGACTTTTAGCCCGGGCCCCCAAAGTGCTGTAAATGTCATGTCGATAGTAAAACAAGGGGTAACCTCCGTGAGGAGTGCTCAACTAGGAGATATCCTGTATTTACCTGATGTAGGCCACCTCATTGTTGTTGGTCAAGCGACGCCAGCCTGGGGCCAAATTTCCATTGTAGCCAGCAGTCGGCGTCTTCCTGTTGCTACCATTGCTACTGGCATTGTTGGCTTTGGCAACATTCTTGGCATAGAGCTGATTGTTCTGACTCATTTGACGCGATGCAATTGTTGTCGGCATGCAATGCGTTGCCCCAGCAGCAGCAACAGTTGCTGCCGTTACTCCTGCCGTTGCCGTTGACTTTATTGGCAACTTTATTTGCGCCTGGCGCTGTTTGGTTTGTTGCTGCTGCTGCTGTTGGTGTTGCAGAAGGAGTTGCTGGTTGCTGGTGGGGCAGACAAATATATGCTGCTGCTGACTGGTGCGCTGCTGCTGCTGTTGTTGCTGCTGCTGCTGTTGCAGATGCAGATTGGTTACTTGCATCATGTTGCCGCTGCCGTTGCCATTTACCAAGCCAGCTGGTAATATCTGTTGCGTATGCTGCTGCTGTTGTTGCTGCTGCTGTTGCACCGATGCACTTGTAACGACCCGCGATACAAATTTTGTCTGTTGCTGCTGGAAAAACTGATGATGTTGCTGCGGTTGCTGCTGCTGATGCTGGTGCAACGGCAACATTTGCTGCTGCTGCTGTTGGTGATGCATCTCGCTGATCGCTGTCTCAGCGTTCCCAACAATATTCAGCTTGTGCTGGTGCTGATGTTGCTGCTGTTGCTGGCCAGCAGATGCGGCGGCCATGGCGATAACAGCAGCCGTTTAGGAGCGCCTTCGCGATTTAGGGCCTGCAAAGATTTCAGGGAAATTGTCTCATGAATCACAGTCACAGTGATAGAGTCTTCAAGCTCAGGGAATATTTATTTCAATTGAATTTCATTCTATAATAGTAGAATTCCTTTTAAAATATAAAATAATATACATGTTCTTTAACGATTAGAATTTATATGAATTATTTATTTATTAAGAAATTTATTAAAAAGACACTTTTAATAAAATTTTAAAAGTAATTAAGTCTTTATATTTTAAATATTTCTTGATAAACTAATAATTCAAATAAATTCCTATCGTTTAAGAATATGAATACATTTGTTTAACTTAAGGGAAAAGCGTTCGTTCCTTTAAAAAAAAAAAAGATTTAGGAATTCATGTTATTGGGTCTTCAAAGGTTATTATTCTTATTAAAATTATATTCCTAGTTTATATATAAAATTCTTTTCATTTTAAAATTTTCATTTAAAATTTTAAAAATGTAATCCGATTTATCTTGAAGGAAAAAATGGCAAATTGTCGTAATCACATAGGAATTCATGTTCTTGGATCTTCAAATGTTATTGTCAATCTAATATGTAACTTTATGCTATGGTATGGGTATTAACCCTTCTTTGGTTTCAGTGCAAATCTTCTTGGCATGACACCATCATGCCAATCGGAGGGCTTTGTCTTTGGGTTTTCTCAGTTTTTTCAGTTGACTCAGGGGCCTCGAGTTTAATCGAATGGAATTGCGTTGCGGCCTTTGTTTTGGCCCGCCAGTTGACCACTTACAAAAGTAGCAGAATTGAAAGCCCAATCAGCGTTTATGCGCTGCGCGTGTAATGAACATGGAAGTGGTCTAAATCTGGTTTATACGCCATCTCACGCACATCCATTATAGCAAGAGAAACACAAGGTCGTAAACCCGTACTCGCAGTCAAATAGATAAAATGCTAACTGGACGATCGTATAAACGACAAATCGTAGGCCGCACCTTTCGTTATTTATGCGTTGTTAAGTTTCTCCCCCTTATTCTGCTATCCGCTCACCTTTTAGCGTGCTTTTCGCTTTGCTCATTTGCCAGCATATTAAATTAATTTTGAGTTATTGTGTAAACGAGACGCGGCCATGTCATGTTCATGTATTTTATGGTTTCTTTTTTTTAAAACACTTAATTTCACTTTTTTTCTGTATTAATATTATTTCGTATGCCACTCTGCTTCTTTTTGCTGTAATAATGCGACAACGACTTTTGTGTTTTGCTGCGTGTTGTGTTGTTGGTTGTACACGGTAAGAATTAAGCTATTGAATTTAAATTTTAAAAATATTAATAATCATAATTTCATATGTAGAACTTTACGATTTGCGGTTTTCTTGCGAAACAATATGATATGATGATTTGTAGATAAGAAGTATTATATAGTTTAGAGTACGTTACAGCAATCTAAAGACCCTATAACGCAGTAAATTGCCTTAACTACTAATAAGGGTAAATATTAAATTATATCCATTTTAAGCAATTTTTAACGATTTTAGTGTTTGTTTTGAATATTTCTTTTGGTGTACAATCTGCTCATGACTTCATTTGGAATTCAGAAAACGAACGAATGAAGAGTGGAGAGCAGAGAGCGCAGAGCGCGTAAAAGTAGGTGAATGGAGCATGAAGACACCAAAGCAAAGAGCGCGGAGAGAGCGGGCGAGGGGGAGGTTGTGGGAGTGGGGGGGTCACATCACCCACACCACTGCACTCCACCACTCTCTCTTTCTCCCTCTCTACCCTCCCCTCTCTGTGTTTTTACTTTGGCACAATTTGCAGACCGTTTTTTAAGTAGTATAATTAATGCGTGCTTAGTTGTTTTTTTTTCTGCTGAACGGTGGACAGTACAGTGGGCAAGAGTCGCCACCACCTGCCCTGTGGTTCTGCTTCGGCGATCAGCTAAGCGCACAAACAACACAAGAGAAGGGGAGGGGGAGGGGGGAGAGCAGCTGTTCGCCTTGGGCAGTGGGATGAAAACGAATATTGGTGGCTATCTTGGTGCACTGGTATGGGTATTGGGCAATCCCAGCGGGAACATTCCTCTGGAAAATAACATATTTTCAAGAGGTTTCTCCATACAAGCGAAAGGGACAAAACCTCATTCACCCCTTACATTTCTTCCGTCTCTGGTTTCAAAATACACGGGGGTGACACAAAAAGTAAGGGGGAAATGAGGTTTCTATGTGGTTTTCCTAGGGAATTTACATTTTCCCTACACCGTCGCCTGCTGAAAGAAACAGGATTTCCAACACTTTCTGCTAAAAGGAACAGGATTTTCAGCACACAAAGAACCACCTTCTCACTTTCCCGGTGGGATCGCACAAACACACACATACAACACGCGTGCCTATGCTGCGGTTTACTGCTGCTATAATATGTACAAAGTGACCTCAATACGCATTACGCTACAAAACACACAACAAACGTACACACACACAACTGACAACTGACGACTGCACTTCGTTTTGGGCTTTATTATGCACAGACTCGGATTACGCCAAATGCCAATTAAATATGAATTAATTACAACAATTTTGTGTCGCTCGATTCGATTCACGCAATATTATGGCTCTCTCTCGCTCTCCTTCTGGCCAGGCTCTCTCTCTCTCGCACTCATTGGCAAACGCGCACACGAAAAATTTTCATCAACTTTATGAATTTGTACTTTTATTCACTTTTTTGCGCGGCCAATTGGACCTTTTACACACCTTATAACGCTGCTCTTTCGGCGGCGGCGAGTGCGCGCATTTGTTTTGGAATTTTTTAGGCTGTATTTAACGGAAAATCGACGCAATCGACGACCGCAACTCCGTGCACTTTTCCGACCGCGACAACAACAAATTGTGATGTGACCGGAGGAGGAAGTTTGCAAAATACCAAAGCTGAATCGATGTTTAATCGATAGTCGTGGTGTTGCCAGAATCAATCGATTATAAAGTAATCGAATATGCCTTGGTCCTTTATAAAAATTAAAAATAAAAAAGGTGGCAACACCCACTGGGAAATTTAAATTAATTTTGAATTACAGAGCTTTTTAAATTATTTATTCAAAAATTAAGATATATAGTACTGATTTTTTACTAAAAAATACAGTCTTTTAACCTTTACAAAAATCAATCAAAATGAAAGTGAAAGTAGTGCCCAACCTTTTTTAGTTATTCGCCTGTCAAATCAAATAAAGCAAACTAAAATTGCTTTTGAAATGTTCGACATTTTTAAGAAACCCTATGCGGACTCCAAGCAACTTCCGTTGGCCAGTGGACCGGGACCCATCCTGATTATCATCTTCGGTTATTTGCTGGTCGTTTTTAAGGCGGGCAGGAAGTTTATGGAGCACCGCGAACCGTACAATCTGCGAGGAGTGCTCAAGTGCTACAATATGTTCCAGATATTCTACAATGTGATGATGTTGTTGCCGGTGAGTTCATTTTATATAATCCATGCACTCATAAATTCGCTTCAAGAACTTTTCATTTAGGGATACTACTTCATGTTTGTGGTTCGACCGTACAACCTACGCTGCATGACTATCCTGCCGCAGGATCATCCGCTGAAGAACTGGGAGCGCACCATTAGCTACGCCTACTACATAAACAAGATCGTCGACCTGCTGGACACCTTTTTCTGTGTGCTGCGCAAGAAGTACTCGCAAATAACCTTCCTGCACGTGTTTCACCACGTGCTCATGCCCTCGGTTGGATATCTTATCATTCGTTTCCAGGGCTACGGAGGTCACCTCTTTTTTCTCTGCTCCTTTAATGTGATTGTTCATATCTTCATGTATGGCTACTACTATTCGGCGATGGAGGGCAAGACTGTGAGCTGGAAACGCTACTTAACCCTCATGCAAATGATGCAGTTCGTCCTGATGTTTGGCCACTGTGCCTTCACCGCCATGCAGCGCGAGTGTGACGCCTCGCAGGGCCTGCTCTTCCTGGTCAGCTGCTCGGCCGCCGTCATGTTTATCATGTTTGCCAATTTCTACTTTCAGTGCTACGTGCAACCGAAGGTTAAGGAGAACTAAATTATTTATGAAAAAATAAATTTGAATTTCTAACGGTTACTGCACATTAGGGTTATTCTTTTATCGTGACCATTAAGTTATCGATTAACTACCATCTCTAATCGAGTGCAACAAAACGCGCGCGTTGCCGGCAACCGTCGAATATTTTGCAAATATTTGCGAACTTTCCATGCAAAATCGTATAAATAGTAGCTGCTCTGACCGGTAACCATGTCCGCCAGCTCCTCCAGCAACGCCTGCAAGCTGCTGCTCCTGGGCCGCTGCCTGCGCGCCGTTCTGCTCAGCGTGGCCATTCAATTCCTGCTGCTCACCGTCTTCCTACTGTCGGTGAACTTCCAGCTGCTCCATCCGCTCGCCTGGGTGACGGGCACGCTGCGCCTGGTGGCCAGCTGGTACACCTGGTTCGCCAGCATCCCGCTGGTGGCCTCCGTCGTCCTCTACGGCGTCTCCCTGTGCCAGCAGCACCTCTCGGAGCGTCCCTACTGCCCCACTCGCTACCGGTGGCTGCTTCACTACGGTCCCCGCAAGCTGCTCTTCCTGGGCGCCCATCTCCTAGTCGGATTCCTCACCGCCTGGCTGTACACGGGCTACATGCACACGGATTATCAGTAAGGGTAGCTCTCTGGCTTTGATTTCCTATACTAATTCTCCTTTTTATCCAGACACCTGCGTTACAAGTGCTATTTAGAGGAATGCGTGAGTGCCTACCACGTTTATCTCCTCGGCATGGGCCTCTCCGCCGGCTGCTACTACTTTGTCTCCGTTCACATGCGCCAGGAGATCTCCATTGAGTTCCCCATTGTAGAGCAATCTAGGGGTGAGAAATTGCGCGAACTAATCTACGCCAGTTTGGCCCGTTCTCTGGTCAAATCCCTGCTGCCCACGCTCAGCTACACGCTCGTCTTTTGGCTCTTTGGACCTCTGATTTGCCACAAAATCAGTCAAGTGCTTTCTGTGGACTTTGATGAGCGTTTGGAGGGTTTCTTCGGCGTAGCCACCAATGGGCGGCTGCTTTTCTATGGCTATTTGCTGACTGCTCAGATCCTGAGCAACATGCACCTCATGCGCTGCTTCTACGGCATTCTGCTGTCGGAAGATTTGCCGCTGGTGGTCACCAAGCAGCGGGCGGCCTTTGCCCACGAGCAGGAAGTGACCATGGTGGCGGGACTGGGAGTTTTTAACGTGTACGTGGTGCAGTGCCTGGCTGCTCACTATTTCTACAAGTTGGCGTTGCGAAAGGATTCAGCACAGCGGGCGGAGATTTTCCAGCTGACGGAACCGGGCAATCGGCCAGCAAATTGGCGTTCGCTCTGCGATCAGTGCTTGAGTATCCTGGGCAGCTTCACCGAGGAACTCAGCGAATCCATGCAGAAGATCAGTGTGCTGAAGGGAGCCCAGAGTCTGCCGATGATGCCGAAAATCAGCGAAACTGTATCAGCCAGCCTGATGGCCGAGAAGCTGCTGCTGCGTCAGTACAACCAAATGCACGGCATTCGACCCATTGTGTCGCCGAGAAGCGAGGATGCAGTGGATCGGCCAGCGGATGGCATTCGCCATGTGCCCAACTGGTGTGAGCGAGTGTCCACGCAGCTGGAAATGGCTGTTCAACGCTTGGTGCAGCGAATTCCCGGCATTGTCTACCTGTTCAACGAACCCGAGGGCTCGAAAACCACCTTCCTGCTGGCCAATTGTTTGCCTGTGGTGTACATGACTCAGGCTCTGGCGCAGATTTGCGTGGCCTCTTTAAAAGAAGATCCCTATGGCGTGGTGCAGAACGATTTGCCGGCCATCATCAAGGCGATAAACAAGCTGCGCAACGAACTGGAGAAGCTGAGCAGCGTGATTGGCAATCTGAAGGCAAACAGCTCCAGTTTCAATGTTCTACGATGCGCTGTGCGTCGCAGCCTTTACGCCATTTGCCACTCCTTCGGTGATTACCTCGCGGATCTTTTGCCACCCGGCGAGGAACTGCGGCAAATGCAGGATCTCATCTGCCAGGAGTAAAACCCATCCATCATTATTTACACTGTTTTGCATCTCTTTCTTTAGTTGTTGTCTGCGGTAACAATAAAAATTAATAAATATAACTACTAAACGTACAATAGTTATACGCAACTATTGACTTTTTCACTTAGAGTACGAAATGGTAACACGCGATTTGATCATAACTACTAGCAGGGATGAAATGGTCTGTGTACAAGCGGTGGCAGTCCAGCTCCTCACTGCTCCTCCATGGCCACGGCCATCATGAGCAGGGCCACATCCTCTTCCAGCCGGCGATTGGGTCAGAGCTCTGCTTTCGCTGGCAAGGTGACAGTGGCTGCCTCACCCAAGGATTGCTCCAGCTGCTCGGCCACCTCGTCGAGATGCCGGAGGGCCTCCTTGGCCTTGCGATTGCGTCCGTCCACAAAGATCTGCGTGTCCAGGAAGTGCAGCGCCCGGAAGGCCATGCCGCCCTGCGGATCATACAAACTGGCGAGGGTTTTGGGGCTTCTGGAGCTGGCGCTCTGATCGGGAGTGCTGGGATCAAAGGGCACGTACTCCTGAATGGGCTCCTTGTGCCAGCGGAAGATGTTGCGGGAATCTGAAGGGAAATATGGCTTAGATTAACTTATATAAATTTTAGGGGTAGGAGAAAATGTAACCTAGATCGGCCAGCACTCGCGTCATCTCGCGAATCTGCGCATCCTGTCGCTCTAGACGGAAACTCATCTCCGTCAGCGTGTTGGTCAAATCCATCTTCTCCGCCTGCGCCAATTCGTTCTTCTTGTTCTCCTTGATGGTTTGACTGAAAGGGGGGAAATATTATTGATCTGGGAAGACCAAGATATCCAGTGAACCAACCGTGAGTACTCGAAGATCAGCAGACCGGCTCCGATCGTAAAGATGATGAATTCGCCCAGCAGATTGGCGCCCAGCTCAATGGCCATCGCCTCGTTCAGCGGCGGAACATTCACCCGGCCTCCCATATTCAAAGCCCACATCTTGGTCTTCACCTCCACCCAATTGTAGACTGAAAATTTAGCATTATTATATAGTAATCTCATCGAATCGAAGATAATCCAACTTACACTGCGCCGGCGGCATGCAAATGTACTTCCTGAAGAAGGGACTCGACTTGGCATTGGACTTTATCACATTGGCTATCGGCTTGCTGATCTGCTTGATGGCCAAGACGCCGAGCTTGGCCGCCGGGAAGACGCCAATAACCATTATTTCGCTTTTTAATAATAACTATTACAAAATATTCGTGCAAAATTAGAGATGTGTACGAGGTGGCGATAGGCAGGCTGTTAGTGATGGCCAATCGAAAGTCTTAATGTAACCGTTACATTTTTTTAAAATATTTTTATTTCCTAAAAATATTTCAGAAGCCCATTTGATTTTGTTATGTAACCGTTACATTTTTTAAAAATATTAATATTTTCCAATAATATTTTAGAAGCCTTTATGAATGCTAGTAAAATATTAAATAAATTAATTTAGTAGGGGAGAGTGGGGGAATTTCGTCAGCATTTTTTCAAAGCTATTTTTTGTCCATCTTGAGACACGTTATCATATTTCTATTTTTATTGTTGAATGCGGTTAGCACCAAGCTTTAAAATGTGACATTCCCCTATTTTTTTAATTAGCTTGGTGATTTATAAAAAAATAAAATGTAAAACCAATATACTGGGGCAATCTCACCACACAGGGGGTAAAATCACCACACAACTGGGGAAATTTCGTCACCTGAAAAATGTAGGGAGTTTAACGCCTGAAAATATGCTACACTGATCAAGCGTACCATTTTTGTTGACGTCCTATATTTGTTGCTGCTGCTGGTAGTCTGTTCGTTAGCCAGCTCGTCAAATATAAAAATATGTATTTAAAATAGGTGCGAATTTACCCTAAGCGTAGGGTGGCGAAATTTCCCCAGACCGTACTTTTTTAGAAATAATTATTTTTCTTGCGAAAATAGGCGCGAAGTTAAAAATCACTGACGCAGAAATGCACATTATAGCACTGTGTATTATATAACAAATCGTGTATCTTATTCCTTTTGAATTGTGGCATACAGAAAAAATTTCGTCGAGAACTAAATGTAGCTTTTGAACTGTTAAAACACATTTAATATTATAGCTTAATTATCTTGGCCTTCTGTGCAAAACAAATGCATTGGTTGTGTCTGGCCGTCTTGAAGGACTAAAACAAAAAAATTATATATTTTTACGACTTATGGATTCCGAGATATTGCAGGTGACGAAATTGCCCCTGTGACGAAATTCCCCCACTCTCCCCTATATTTCTCGTCAACAAACAATATTGATCCAAGGGGATAAACAATCTTTTAAATTCCATATAAAATTATTAAAATTTGCATTATTTCAGGGCTGCCCTTATCCACTTAATTTCCTTTTCCTGCTGCTCCACATCTGCACTAATACAGTCAACGCGTTTATCTAGAGCTTTTCTCTGATCCTCAATTTCCTGGTTTTGCTTTTGATTCTTTTTATATGTTCTAAAGGAAATATCTGTATTAAAGAGGTTAGTTTTTAAAATTGTATTATACATACTTTGAAACCTCGTAGTAGATAAATCCGAGACCTATACCAAACACAAAGGCCTCGCTCAGCATATCGGCGCCCAATCTGGTGGCGATCGGAGGTGAGAGACGTGGGATCTGCCTGGGTTGTTTCAATCGCAGCATCCTAAGTTTTGACCTAACCTCAAAGGTATTATAAAGCTGCGCTGGCGGAATGATGACGTAGTGCCGGATGAAGGGATGATGCTTGCCCATCCACATGAGGAGATCGCCAAATGGCTTGCTGACCCGTTTCATGCCAAAAATTAAGAGTTTCCCCACTGGAAAACTGCCAATCACCATCGTAACTTTGAATTTTGTACGAATTGAAAGGCGATTTGAATGGTTTCTCTAAGCCAGTTTAGTAACATTCTGAATCCCCCCGATCGTTGTATTCTCTGAGTCCTACCATCGACTTGAGTTGACTTATTTCCTTGGCCTGTCGGGAAACCTTGTTGGTAAGGTCACAAATTCTTTCCTCCAGTTTCTCCGTATGAATCTTGTGCTTTTCGTGTTTTATTCTGTCGTTCTTTGATTGCCTAAGATGTTTAAAGTGTAAAAAAATTATTAAAAAAAATGTTATTTATAATTTTTAGAAGTACCCACCTTGAGAACTCTCCTATCAAGAGCGAAGCACCAATTAGAAAGATGACCAACTCGCCCAGGATATCGCCGCCCATTTGAATTGTCATCGCATCTGTTAAGGGAGGAATAATACGTGGTTGTCCCAATCCCAGCATCCACATTTTCGAACGCACATCGATTACGTGATATACTGAAAAGGATTATCTAAAAATCAATGGGAATTCTTGAGGGACAACTTACATCTTGCTGGCGGAGAAACAACCAAGCTCTTAAATGACGGATTATTTTGGGCTGTTCGCTTGATCAGATTTCCGATGGGCTTGCTAATGTGCTTGATGGCCAGCAATGCGAGTTTTCCCAGTGGAAAAGCGCCCACAACCATTATGCAATTTCCTAATTTCGACTTAATTGACTGCGGTTACTATAACTGAAAATTTTGAAATTTAAAATATGTTAGTTTTTTTTAGGAGATTTCAAATACCTAGAGGGGGGAAAATATATATTTTTTCACCGTAATCGCTATTTTTAACCGTATCTACAACTTAAGACCTTTATTTTAATTCTCTGATAGTTAAAAAAAAACTGTAAAATATATTCAAATTTATTGTGCTTGTTTATTTTATAAAAATTGGTAATTTTTGGCATTTAAAACCCGGTCACACCTGTTGTGAACAATAAATTTTGTGGTTTGTTATTATATTTATTCTCAAAACAATGTCGACTTTGGAAGATTCCGATGAAGAAACCGACTTCAAAGAGATCAGCTCTACGAATTACCAACGCGTGCAGGAAAAAGTGGCCAAGGTAGGTTCAAATTCGCCTTTCGCGTGGCCAGCTCTCATGATGAAATCACGTTCTTTAATATTACGTCTTATAAATACTCTTTCTTTTTCAAGATAAGCTATGCAGATGGCATTGCCGATGGAAGGGAGAAGGTCTTCCAGGACAGCTTCGACGAGGGCTTTGAAAATGGATTCAAAACTGGCTTTGAACTGGCCAAACTGAGTGCCTTCTATGAAACAATAAAAAATGCGGTTGCCGGAAATGTAGAACTTAAGGCAGAACAAGAGGCCTACGAAGAACTTAAGCTAGCAGATGCCACAGATAAAGAACACTTTAAATATCTAGAACATCAGGGAGCTCCTCTTAGCGTAATATCCAGTAAACAAAAGACCTACATAGACGAACTGCTGGAAAAACTGGCGCAGCAACTCCCAGCCACTACAAATTTATTCACTTCGACCAACGTTTCTAGTGTTAATGTGGTTTAATGCATGTGTTTTTTTAGGGAATTATCAAAATTAACTGAAAATATATATATCTGTTTGCGACTTATAAGTAAAGACCCTCGGGCGTGCCCTCCTTCTTTCGGTACAGGACGCTCTCCTTGGACTTCTTGAAGTCCTCGTTGGTCACCTTCATGCGTCGCTCGCGCAGCGCCATCAATCCCGCCTCCGTGCAGATGGCCTTGATGTCGGCGCCCGAAAGATCATCCTTGGCCATGATCAGTTCGCTGAGGTTCACATCCTCGGCCAGCGTCATGCGCGACGTGTGGATGGTGAAAATGCGTCGCTTGGTCTTCTCATCGGGCAGCGGGAACTCGATCTTTCGGTCAATTCGGCCCGGGCGAATCAGCGCTGGGTCAAGAGTTTCAATGCGATTGGTGGCCATGATCACCTTGACATCGCCGCGCGAATCGAAGCCATCCAGCTGGTTGAGCAGCTCCAACATCGTACGCTGAATCTCGCGCTCTCCTCCAGAATTCGAGTCGTACCGCTTTGTGCCCACCGCATCGATTTCGTCGATGAACACAATGGACGGCGCATGCTCCTCGGCCACGCGGAAGAGCTCTCGCACCAGTTTGGGACCGTCGCCCAGGTACTTCTGGATGAGCTCAGAGCCCACGACGCGCAGGAAAGTGGCCGAGGTCTGATTGGCCACCGCCTTGGCCAGCAGGGTCTTGCCCGTGCCGGGAGGTCCATAGAGAATGACGCCCTTGGGCGGCTTGATGCCCATCTCCTCGTAGTACTCGGGATGGGTGAGGGGCAGCTCGACGGACTCCTTGATCTCCTGGATCTGGGTGTCCAAGCCACCGATATCCGCATACGTTTCCTGCGGCGCCTTCTCCAGCTTCATCACCGTGACCATGGGATCGGTGTCGTCGCTCAGGACGCCCACCACTGCGTGCACCTTGTGGTTGAGCAGCACGGAGCAGCCCGGCTCCAGTTGATCCTTGTCCACGAAGGACAGGATGCTCACGTAGTGCTCGGAACCCACCGAGGTGGAGACAATGGCATGATTGTCGTCGATAATCTCCTCCAGATTGCCCACGGACATGGGAGTGCCGCGCAGATCGTCCACCTTGGAGCGCTCCTCCTCGTTCTTCTCGTCCTGCGGCTTCAGGCGCTCCTGGTTGCGAATGAACTCGTCCTCCATCATCAGGTAGTCCTTGATCCGCTCCAGCTTGAGCAGCTTCAGGCGGCAGCGGGTGTGGGGCGTCACCTGGGGCAGCTTCATCGCCGCATCGGGACCCTTGGCGCGCCGCTTCTTCTTGCCAACGCGCGTTGGGATTGGAGGCTCGTACTTCTTCTTTTTGTCCTTGTCATCCTTCTTGTCGCCAGCGCCGCCTTGGGCCGATTGGTTTTGTCCCTGTAAAGGGGGTTTTTCAATTGTTAGTTAATGCTTGATTATTTTCGAGTTTTACCTTACCATTTTGCTTTTGTGCTGCTGCTTTTCTCAACCTTTAATGAACTTTTTCACTCTTTATTTGTCGGCAACAAAAATTTCCACTAGTCACTGCGGCTGCGGGGCTGCCGTACTCACGGAACACGACAGTCTGGCAACTTTGTTGGGTGGTGAACAAATATTTTTAAGAATTTAGTCACAAGTTCGAAAGGCAAGGAATGCTGGAACACTTGGATTTTGTTTTAAAATGTGATAATTAGTAAAATGATTTATTTTTAATGGTTATTATTTTATTTAATGCGACCAGTCGAGCCGAAAGACTTAGTTGCTAGCGCTCTAAATTTCCTTTTCAGTTAGATCATAGTTTTACACTGTAATTTAATTTTTATAAATAAATAAATAAATTATTTAATAATAATTAATTTTATGCAGAAATATTTTACATAAATTACATTTCCAGTGGAAACAGCTTAATTTAACAGTCACGCTTTACATATTTATCGATAACTGTGAACAGACACAGTTAAGCAGTCTGGCAGCACCCGAAATTTGTTTATTGTTTGGTTTCTACCGCGCATTGTCGAAATTGTTTAAATTTATTGCAATACCGCCTGTTCATGGATCAAAATGTCAAGAATATCGATCTCAAGCTGGACAACATTGAGGTTCTCACCACCGGCACGGCGGCGGAGTTTGTTAATGGCATCCTGGATTTCTTGCTTTTCCAACGCCGCCAAATTCCCTTCGTGTACAAAACGTACAAGTATTATGTGGAAAAATGGTCTGAGGCGGAGGAATCGGGGGAATCCGCGAACCAGGAGTCCTTTGCCCACTACCAACTGAATCAGCAGCGCTCCAAGGCCAAGGCCACCAAGGAGTCCATTAGTGATATGAGAGAGGTGCGTTTTACTTATGATAAATTATCTATTTTAATACCTTCTCATAACAACAGCTCATTAGACAAGCCTTCAGGACGTCGGGAGTGAAGAGCCTGCGGTTTCTGTTCGGCAATAACACCTTTATGCCCTCGGAGGCCTATACCCTGCACATACCACATGATGCCATATCCAGGGATCACTTTTGCGAGCATCATGCTCTGCCGGAGGGTCGCATAAACCAGGCGCTGCTCCGCCTGCTCACCTGCGAGGAGCTGTACACCCTCTTCTCCACCGACCTGAATGCCACCAATGTGTTCCTGGAAATGGAACTCTTTAAGGGGGCCGAAAATGCACATGACTCAGCTAATCTTATTCCCAAGGACGTTTTGAGCCAACTGCCACGTAGTTGTAAGAACGTCCATCTGCATCTCCTGCACGAAAACGAGAACATGTCGACTGAACTACGCTGCTGCAAGGAGTTGGACATTTACCAGGATCTTGGCCTGCTGAATCTGGACAAGACTGAAAGAGAAGATAGCAGGACTAACAACTCTTTGAAGGAAACCAAGGATTTGAGTGGATGGTGGCAATCCGAGGTCATAGTTCGCGGCTTCAGAGCGCCTGCAAATCAAAAGACCGGAGATATGTGGTCTAGCTAATATTTTTTGTATTTTTTAAATTTAAAGGGCTATCATAAGATATTCGTCCCGTTTGTGCAAGTGCCAAGAATAAAATATCAATTAATTTTCTGTAATTTCGTGTGCTTTTTTTTCTGTTATTATAATTGTGTATTGTGTTAAAAGGTTTCTAGTATTATTAGGGTATTTTTAAGCTGGTTGATAGTTTAAGAATGTGTTCTGAATGTATAGTGGAATGTATTAAAAAAAAGTGTCAATATTAATATTTGGATAAAAAGATATTTAAATGCACAGCCTGAAGTCTTAAAATGTTTTTTAAGATATAAATATTATTTTGAATGAAAAGTGATTTAAATGCAAAGTCTGAAGTCTTAAAATGTTTTTTTTATCAATTATAAATGCCTTGTAAAGTGATATTTAGTAGCTTTTAAGTAGTGATAATTATCGAACATGGAGCAGTGGCCTCTCGCTGCTTGGCCACAATCCTGTTGGCAATGCGATCCAAGTCACGTTGGCCCAGTGAGCTCAGCTTGCGACCCCCATCCGGATGCTTCTCCACCATGCGAGCAGTTTCCAAGGCTTGAAGAGCCTAAAGGGGGATATAATCTTGTGATCATTACACCCTTAAATTACTCCCCTTTCCCACTCACCTTGCGAATGCAGCCGTCCGAGGAGCGACAGTACTTAGCCGGATGGACTCCGTTGCGCTTGCGTCCTCCGTAGACTTTGGTCAAGGCCGCCACGCCGGAGGGGCTGCGCAGGTACAGGTGCCTCATGATGGAGGCACAGCGATTGTAGAACCAATCGGCGTCGGTAGGCCCAGTCTCCTTGAACTTGGCCGTCTTAATGTAATCGGCCTGCTCGGGCACTACGACTTTTCCAGATTTCTTCAAAAAACCAGCCAAAGCTTTTGTCAGCACGTGCTGGTCTACATCCTTCACTGTTACACCCGGCATTTTGCTGATTTCGTTTTTAAAATACTTTTATGGGTGTAGTGAGTTTTTTTTTTGTGGGATAAAATAAGTTTTTACCTTTCAGAAATTAGTTTCTTGCTCCTGCTTTTTCGCCGACTTTTTGCCAAAATGGACGTTTAAGTGACATTTGCCAGTGTGACCTAATTACTGAACCGGAAATACTGTTCGTATTCTTGACTGTTTAAATTGGAACGATGACTACGAGAACAATTCAAAAAAATAGAGGAAACAACACTTTTCGGTAAGTTGGTAACCGATATTATAAACAATACCTCGTTTAGTCAAATGTTGTCATTGCAATTGCATTGCAAAAAAAAAATGTAACACATTTAACAATTTTTCTGAAGAATTTGCGGATACATATGTATACGGATATATGTACATATATACGGTAAGAATTTATGTACACACGTGTAAAAATATACGAGTCAAATTGGAACACTTAAAAAAAACACTTATTTTATTCCTAAAATGTTGCTTTACTGTAATTGACATATTTTTTATTGTTCCATTATATGTGGTCCACTCAGTTCTCATTTGGAGTCACAGAATAAGGTCAGAATCATAGTCACCACTGATTTTTAAATTATAACTAGTTTACTTTTGTAATAGATTAATCAGATCATCATAAGAAATGGACGAGAACGGTGAATTTATTTTAAACAGCTATTGTCTCTTGGAGATAATGAATTATGTAGTTGAAAATTGCAAGGCAAGTTATAATGATTTGATAAACTTTGTACTGGCGCATGAATTTTTTCTCGAATTGCTTGAGGAATATTACAAAAGCCTTAACGAGGATCTTGAGTTGGTGCTTGTGTGCAGGATAACGATGTTGGAAATAGATCTTCGAATCAATAAGCAATTAAACAAAGGAAATCCTGTTTTCTGGAAATCTTACCTAGAAGCTGTCTATAAAAGACGTCCTTTTAATGTTGAACTTTCGTTTGAACACGCTTGCGTAATCATTGATATAAAAGGTAAATTATTTACTTAATATATTATTGATATCCTTATTTAATTAACCAATTGCATGTTTTTCTTTATCTTAAGGCAATCCACAAGGTCTCGAAAAAGTAGAAAAATTAGAGTTAAACGGTAATATTACTGGAGAAGCGTTGGCAGACATATTCCGCTCAAATAGAAATTTGACAAAGTTGGCCTTTAAAGGCACAGAAGTACATGGAAGTCTCTTTGATATCGTACCCCATTGCGATAGTCTTGAGCACGTGGAAATAAGGCTAAGCCCAGGCGATCATGTTTCCCAATTTGCACCGTTGGCTAAGTGTCCCAATTTAAAGAAATTTATCATCACTGGCTTACTACATTTTGATTTGAAAGCAATATCAATATTTACCAACGATATACGAAAGTTGACCAGACCATGGGATCTTCGACCTTTAAGATTGACCATCGACCATCTAACCGTTTACCTTTTCGACTTTTAACTCATTACGATATTTGCTCATACGATACGAAACTCATAACCATATACTTTATCCATATGGAATTGATGAAGATTGGAAATGGAATACACTAATGCAGATCGAGTACGATTTATGTAAAATATCCGATGACAGCAATTCAATAGAGGAGTCTCTTGCGACCTTAGTTTTACGTGAATGGGTGGATGTTACGTTTATCAAGCATGGGAAACTTGAGCTAAAGATACATGACAACTCAGACATACATACATAAGTAAAATGAAATATGAAGTGGTTTCAGACTTTGTATGCGAAATTAACGCCATACTAAAGTCTATGAGAAATTCCGCACTTCAGGAACCTTTACATCTCACAATATATCAATTTTCAAAATTCTCGCAATTTCTTGTAAGTGTAAAGTAATGACACAAATTTCCGAAAAATCAAAGTAGTCTTCTTACAGGTAGAAGACATTGATGAGGCCACCCCAAACCTTACCTATTTATATATGGATTGCCGTTGGATAATTAAACGAGATTTTATATCTCGAGATGCGGACTCAGAGAACACCGATACTAATGATTATTCATACTAATTAATAGTGTTTAACGATATGTTATATTTCTTTTTTCTACGAATTCTAACCAAATATAACATTTAGTTGGCAATATAAACTTCATTATTTTAGGAGTGATTGGTCTGAATAGTTTACAGGAGTTTTTTAATGGCACTGGTGAATCGGTCATAGTTTCGCTCCTTCCATTGCACATTGGTCAGCATAATCTCCAATGCGTGTTGAATCGCCTCCTCCGAACCCTTAAGGGACCCCTGTGATTTGACGACAAATTCCTTGAACTCGTTGTAGTCCTTCCGCTTGAAGACCTGCTTTTGAAGGGGTTCTAGGAGACGAGTCAAGCTTCTGGTAAGTTGATGGTAGCTAAAATATAAAAATAAGAAAAAATAAGGTAAAGTGTTACAGACCAAAAACGGTGCTCTACTCACAAGTTATTTATAAACTCCACATTTTCCATAAAGTAATTTTTGGCCAGCCGGAAGCCCACCTCGGTTTTGGCCACCGCTTGGAAGGCCCACTTCGAGTCCTGCTTGCGAACATCCTCTTTGGGGTCAAAGGTCAGCTCCAAATACCTCTGCAGCAACCAAACCTCCCTCGAACAACCCAAAGCCGTCAGAATGGTTCGCTTTTCGGCCGCCACATTCGAATTCTTGTAACGCGTCCACAGGAACTCCCAATCATCATCGGATCCATGCTTTATAGAGGTGCAGTAAACGGTGTTACGGACATTAATCGGCACCGGATTCTTCTCATCGGGATTAGCCTCCGACCTCCAGATGCGATAGTAGGCCAATGCCTGGGGCACACAATCTGCCACCTGGTACTGACACGCCCAATCGGCCACCATCGACTTGAGGAGGATCTGATCCTGCTGTTGGATCGAACTAAATGTGTCGTTGATGCCGCTCAGGTGCTCGTAGATGGGCGTAATTAGCTGTTTGACATAGCTCTGAAAATAGGCGAATTTAATATACTAACAAATCCTTTATGAAAACTCATGAACTCACCTTGAAGAACTCAAAGTTTGCTGTTTGTCGCAGAATTCTATTCAATAACTTTAGATTCTCGAAGGCCGATTTCCAGGGAAGAAGCTCTCGCTCTCTCTGCAAGTAATTGATCACCTGCAAGGCGATCTCGTAGTTCTGCTCTCCTGTCCAAGCGAAATACAGGACATCGTCTATAAGCTGGGCCCTACTGATCACGTGAATGCTGTGGAACTCCCCGCTGTTTAAGGTTTCGATTAAAAGCTTCCAGTTCTGGGCATCGTAGTTGACCTTATAGGGCGACGATAAAAGATTGTTGAAGATCACCCATTGATCGGGTCCTGGAAGGTCCTGGATTGTCTTGGTTTGACTCTGGCCACTCTGGCTGCACTCCATCCAGGCTTTGGGGGACGTGTTGTTAAAGTCCTTCTCCTCCTGCGTGGTATAGCTAAGTGGTACCCACCAACATCCCTTTCCTGCTCTGGATATATCGGTATTCAAAAGATAGCGTTCCTGACTGAGTTCCGCATTCCTTTTCGTATAGTCACGGGTCACATTGATCACGGGATATCTATAAAGCGGTTTGTAAAATTAAATATATATTGCTTTTTTTTAATATTCAAACTTACCCGGTTTGCAGAGTCCACGAGTCCATAATGGTCTTGATGTTGTAGTTCGTTGGCAGAGCACCATTTTTGTGGGCAGCCTGAGTAAGTGACTCCCAAAGATTATCCTGTTCGGCATTCTTATAAGCGTATCTTTCTAGATAGGATTTCAGTCCGGTACGGAATGACTCCTCCCCCAAAAACAAGTGCATCATTCGCAAAACTGAAGATCCTTTCTCGTATGAGATTTCGTCGAAGCTCTCGGAAATCTGCGAAACCATTTTTATGGGTCTCGAAATGGGATGGCTACTCTCCAAGGCGTCCTTTCGGAAAATGGCCAGCAAGTTGGACAAAGATTCCAGTTCCATGGAACGCCACTCCGGATGGATGTACTCCACGCCCAAGGTAGCCACATAGGTGGCCACTCCCTCCTTAAGCCAGAGATCTGTCCACCACTTCATGGTTACCAGATTTCCGAACCACTGATGTGCCAACTCATGAGCTACAATATTGGAAAGTTCTTGCTTATCCTTTAGTGAGGAAAATTCACTGGAGTACAGGAGTGCAGTCTCTCTATAGGTCACCAAACCCCAGTTTTCCATTGCTCCAATATTAAAGTCGGGCACAGCGAACTGATCGACCTTCGGCAGCGGGAACTTTATGCCGAACAATTGCTCGTAATATTGGAGAACTTTGGGTCCAAACTCTGCGGCATAATCACACTGATCGATAGCATTGGGTCTGGCCCAAGTGCGGAAAAGGGCGCCATTTGGTAGGGTGGAAGGTTTGTGGGAGAAATCATTCACGGAATAGGCCACTAAGTAGGTGGAGATCGGCAAAGACTCCTGAAATTCCGTCCATATGTAATCGGCGATCGACTCACTGCAAGAAAGAAAAGACTAATAATTCCGATAAAATAAATTAGAAAGTCGAATTTACTGTGGCCTAGTTTCCTTCACGGGCATATTGCTGAGGCCAGTGAACTTCTTGTGATAACCCAGTGTGATGACAAAGGGCGCCTTATAGCCAGGTTCATCGAAGCAGGGAAATGCCAATCGTGCCGAAGCTGGTTCAAAATGTGTAATGGAGATCCATCTGCAAGAAAATCACTGTACTGTGAAGAAGGCAAATCATATTGCTTTGTCTTATTTATCACCTTGTCTCGTTGGCCACGGGATCAACATAGGAACTCCGGTAGTATCCCTCCAGTTGATCATTTAATTTCGCCGAAAAAGACAAGTTCAACTCATAAACTTGGCCAGCCAAAAGTTCTTGGCAGGTGTTCAGAATATAAAAGTCGTGGGTGGGGTTTACTTCTGTGGAGGATATACAATTCAGCTCTCCGTCAATTTGCCAAAGAATAGTCTTTGACTCATCGATGTTTAGATTCTTAGAGTGCAACGTTATGTTGTTGGTGTTTTCCAGGACTTCTATCTGAATTTTCACAGATCCGTTAAAGTAAAAATCCTCCTGATTTTCCAGCTGTGTTAGGATGCGCAGGTAATACTTCTGGGGTCGAAGAGCTGACGGTAGGCGATAATGATTATACCTGGAATTGGCCTTGGATAAACCCAGTCCTAGGCCAATAATAAATAACAGAAACCACTTCATGCTCGTCTCTGTTGGTAAAAGTTGTGAAAAAACCAAAATTACTAAACTGTAACTAAGCTTATATAATTTAAAATTTCACAGCATGAAAAAAATGATTAAAATTTACATGGTTCTAATCAACACATAATCCCTTTGAACCTTTGAACTCGCAAGCTGGTTAAGTGAGATAGATTAAATCTTTTGATTTGAATAAAAATTAATTGATTTATTTTGGGATTATGTTTTGTTTTAACACAAATATTATCTTGAATCGATTATAATAATTAACATCACGATTGCTTTCGTAATTTATTTCTTCGAGTACCAAAACACACACTTCGAGCGGTAAATATTTATACCTCTGAGCACAACGAAATCAGAAGAGCGAATGATTCTAATTTGAAGATCGGGTTGAACATATACAGGGTGTCACAGAAACCGTCCCCTAAAAAGTACCAGGGCTGGAAATATGTACTGAATATCGAATATTGAATAATTATCGATTTTGATTTGACTTTTTTTGAAATAAAACAAATTAAATTAAATTATTTTATTAGGTTCTACTGAGGAAGCCCAGTGGAAAAATATAATCACTTAAAATATGTTATGTTATGAATAAGAAATTGTTTCCAAATGCAGCTGGATGGAGTGCGAAAACTGGTGATAATTTCGTTTCATCCACTGCACATTGGTCACCATTGTCTCCAAACTCTGCTGAACCACCAGATGAACAGCTTCCAGAGACTCTTCCGAACTTTTAACAAATTCCTTAAACTCATTCAAGTTCCTCGCCGTAATAACTTGCTCAGAAAGTGGCGGCAAAAGTCGAGTGGGTCGATCAAAGCTAAAAATTATCGTTAAAGACAGTCCAGAAAAATCGTACTTTTAACTTACTTCTTGATAATAGAGTCCACGTTGTCAATTAAGTAATCCTTTGCCAGGTGGAAGCCCACTTCATTAGAAGCTACTGCTTGGAAGCTTAAAGAAGAATCATGCATACGAATGGGACCTTCAGGATCAAATGCCGCCTTCAAGTAACGCTGCAATATCCAAACTTCTCTCGAGCAACCCAAAGTACTTAAAATGGTTTGCTTTTCCGAACCCACATTTGATTTCTTGTACCGCGTCCAAAGGAAGTCCCAATCCTCATCGGTTCCATGTCTTATTGCGGTACAGTAAACAGTGCTGCGAAAGTTGATCGGAATAGGGTTCTTCTCATCGGGATTAGCCTCGGATCTCCAGCGGCGGAAATAGGACTGTGCCCGGGATACACAATCGGATACCTGGTACTCACATGCCCAATCAACTACCATCGTCTTTAGCAGGATTTGATTCTGCTGTTGGATCGAACTGAACGTGTCATTCATGCCGTATAGGTGCTCGTAGATTGGACTCAAGAGCTTCTTCATGTAGCGCTGGAAGTTAGGAATTTTATAAGAGAAGTTACTCTAAAGAACATAATACCTACTTTAAAGAACCCAAAGTTCGGTGTTTGTCGAAGAATCTTGCTCAACAACTTTAGATTGTCGAGGGTCGACTTCCAAGGAAGAAGCTCTCGCTCCCTCTGCAAATAATCGATAACTCGCAAGGCGGTCTCGTAGTCCTGTTCTCCTGTCCAGGCAAAGTACAGGACATCGTCTATTAGTTGGGCCCTGTTGATAACGTGAATGCTCTCGAACTCGCTGTTCAAAGTCTCGATCAAAAGCTTCCAGTTCTGAGCATCGTAGTTTACTTTGTATGGTGTCGACAGCTGGTTGTTAAAGATCACCCACTGATCGGATCCAGGAAGATCTTGTACTGTCTTGGGCAAACTTTCACCAGTCTTGGTGCACTCCACCCACGCCTTGGGAGCCGTGTTACTAAAGTCCTTCTCCTCCTTCGTCGTGTAACTTAGGGGCACCCACCAACATCCTCCATTGTCGGCTCTAGATAAATCGGTATCCCTAAGGTATCGCTCTTGAGTAAGCTTCGCGGTTTTTGACGCATAGTCACGGATCACATTGACTACAGGATAACTGAAAGAAAACTAGTTAAACTAGATAACTAACGATAAGGACTAGAGCAAAGACCCACCCGGTTTGCAGAGTCCACGAGTCCATAATTGTCTTGATGTCGTAGTTCTGGGACAGTTCCTCATTCTGATGAGCAGCTTGGGTGAGACACTCCCAAAGATTATCCTGTTCGGCGTTCTTATAAGCATACAGCTGTAGATACGATTTCAGGCCGGATCGGAAGGAATCTTCGCCCAGGAACAAGTGCATCATTCGCAGAACTGAAGATCCCTTTTGGTACGAAATCTGATCGAAGCTTTCCTCGATCTCCGTTACCATTTGAATGGGTCTCGATATTGGGTGGCTGCACATCAAAGCATCCAGGCGGAAGGTGGTCATTAGGGAGCTTAGAGCACCTCTGTCTTTTGAGTGCCAATTGGGGTAAATGTGCTCCACACCCAAGCTGCTCACATAAGTGGCGAATCCCTCGTTGAGCCAGAGGTCAGTCCACCACTTCATAGTGACCTGGTCAAGAAAAACACTTTTTATAATAAATCTAATACTTTACGAGGAATCCCTTTAATTACCAGATTTCCGAACCATTGGTGTGCCAACTCATGAGCCACTAAATAGGCCAACTGTTGTTGGTCCGCCAGCGAAGAATGCTCCGGAGAGAAAAGAAATCTGGATTCTCTATAAGTCACCAGACCCCAGTTCTCCATGGCACTGTAACTCAAATCGGGCACGACGAACTGATCGATCTTCGGTAGCGGGAATTTAATGTCGAAAAACTCATCGTAGTACTGAAGAACTTTGGGTCCAAACTCCGCCGCAAAATCGCATTGATCGATGGCACTAGAACGGGCCCAGGTTCGGAATTGGACGCTATTCGGAAGCGTTGATGGTTTGTTGGCAAAGTCGTTTATGGAATACGCTACGAGGTAGGTAGACATTGGCAATGACTCTTCGAACTCGTTCCACACAAAGTCGGGAAGGGATTTACTGCAAGAATTTAAATAGTTATGAAATAAATATATTTAAATTAAATTACAATTTACTCTGGCTTAGTTTCTTTCACGGGCATATTGCTAAGGGCCGTGTAATTTTTATGGTAGCCTAATATCACTATGAAGGGTGCCTTGTAGCCAGGCTCATCGAAGCAGGGGAATGCCAATCGTGCCGAAGAAGGTGCGAATTGGGTAAGACTGATCCATCTAAAAATATGTCAAAATAAAAAGAGAAGCCTAGATTTACTTAATTCTTACCTCGTTTCCTTAGTCACAGGATCCAAGTAGGAACTACGATAGTAGCCCTCAAGTTGTCGGTTCAACTCAGCTGAGAAGGGTAAAATAAGTTCATAGACATGGCCAGCCAATAACTCTTGGCAGGTTTTGAGGATATAGAAGTCATGTATGGGATTTACTTCTGTTGAGGCTATGCAGTTATCCAGATCCCCTTCATCGCTGATTTGGCGAAGAGTGATCTGCGATTCATCGATAGCCAGATCCCTCGAGTGCAATGTGATGTTACTGGTGTTTTCGAGAGCTTCAATTAAAATTTTGGATGTACCGCTGAAGCGGAGTTCTTCTGGACTTTCCAGCTGTGTTAGGATGCGCAGATAATACTTTTGGGGTCGTAGGGAAGTCGGCAGACGATAGTAGTTATAGCTGGACTCTAATATAGCCATGGATAGGCCCAGCCAGAGGGCAATCACATATATGAAGAACCATTTCATTGCCGAATCTGAAGATGAGATTATATTCATTTAACTAAAATTACAACCTGTTAGTAAACAATTCATATTCACTTTAGTTTGTTGTTTACTTCTCATTACATAAAAGCCATGTCAATAAAGATGATTCTTATCAAACAATAAACCCCCTGAACTTTTGAAATCAAAAGAATTAACAATTATTTACTATTTCTCAAATTGTTTACACATCTTTAACCCGTTAGACTTTTTACAACTATTACCAGTGGTTGTCCGAGTATTTAAATAAACTAGTGAACACAACGGAGACAAAGACCGAATGCGACTAATTAGAAGATCAAGAAAAATATAATATAACATAAGTAACGGAACAGTTTCGAAGAGAGAGAAAAATTGAGTAACTCAGAGAATTAAAATTGTATTACCATTCCTCTCTTTTACTCTTTAGCTTATTTTATAGTTCAAGATTTTAAAGCTTTTTAAAAGGAAAGCCTGCATACCTAATTAAGTTATTTCTTAAATATTGACTCACTAGAGAATAATATTTAACAACTTATACTAGTACTAACCAAACAAAAATTGTTGTTCACAAAAAGAATAATCTTCCCACATGCCGGAATTGAACATGGGTCCGAATTTATTTCGGGAGGAGATTCTATCCTTTCGGCCATCAGCCCCCTACCTTAAAGGCTACTTAAAATCCTAACTAAATTAATTGTGTTATTTTGTAAGCTCTGAACCCGAAATGTGGCGAAGGGGGAATGATAAACGAAGTTGTATGAGCGCCAATTGCAACTCAGATGACTTAAAAGAATGAATAAATAAATAAAAATCTTTAAGTATAGATATAAAAATCTTTTATTTTTAATCTACACGTATAATACTATATATTAACTAGTAGTTTATTTAAATTTCTTTTTATAGTGGACTTCTGAAGATGTTCTAAAGATGTCGGTATATTATTCAGGTGTTGCTGTATGGAGCGGGAAAAGTGCTGATAGTTTCGCTCCTTCCACTGCACATTGGTGAGCATTGTCTCTAACGTCTGCTGAATCGCCTGGCGAACGCCCTTTAGGTACTTTTGAGAACTAATAGTAAAGGTCCTGAATTCATTCAGGTCACCTGTAGTGATAACTTGCTCAGAAAATGGCTTCAGAAGACGAGACATTGTCCTCGTTTGGGGATAATAGCTGGAAGAACATTATCGTTATAACTCCATTTGGCTTTCAATAACAAGTGAACTTACTACTTATGGATAAGTTCCACATTTTCCATGAAGTACTTCTTGGCCAGCAGGATTCCGATTTGTCTGGAGGCTACTGCTTGAAAGACAAGCGTAGAATCCTGCTTGCGAATGCCTCCCTTCGGATTAAAGGCCATCTCCAGATAGCGCTGCAATATCCAAACTTCTCTCGAGCAACCCAGGGTAGCCAAAATGGTCTGCTGCTCGGAACCCACATTTGATTTCTTGTACCGCGTCCAGAGGAAGTCCCAATCCTCATCGGTTCCATGTCTTATGGCGGTGCAGTAAACAGTGCTGCGAAAGTTGATCGGAATCGGGTTCTTTTCGTCGGGATTAGCCTCGGATTTCCAGCGGCGGAAATAGGACTGTGCCCGGGGTACACAATCGGAAACCTGGTATTGACATGCCCAATCGACCACCGTCGTCTTTAGCAGAATCTCATTCTGCTGTTGGATCGAACTGAATGTGTCATTCATGCCGTTTAGGTGCTCGTAGATTGGACTCAAGAGCTTCTTCATATAGCTCTGGAAATTAGGAACTTTATAAAAGATTTTACTCTAAGGTACAAGATACCTACTTTAAAGAGCCCAAAGTTCGGGGTCTGTCGAAGAATCCTATTCAACAACTTTAGATTGTTGAAGGCCGCTCTCCAAGGTAGAAGATCCCGTTCTCTTTGCAGATAGTTTGTCACTTGCAGTGCTGTCTCGTAGTCCTGCTCCCCTGTCCAGGCAAAGTAAAGGATATCGTCTATAAGTTGGGCCCTATTGATCACGTGAATGCTCTCGAAATCCTCGCTGTTCAAAGTCTCGATTAAAAGCTTCCAGTTCTGGGCATCGTAGTTCACTTTATATGGTGTCGACAGTTGGGTGTTAAAGATTACCCACTGATCGGATCCAGGAAGATCATAGATGGTCTTGGGTAGACTCTCGCCATTTCTGCTGCACTCCATCCAAGCCTTGGGCACCGTGTTACTGAAGTCCTTTTCCTTCTCCGTTGTATAACTCAGTGGCACCCACCAACAGCCAACTCGTTGGTCTCGAGGTATCTGGGTATTCCGCAAATAACGTTCCTGGCTGAGCCTCGCTGATTTTGCCGTATAGTCACGGGTCACATTGACCACGGGATAGCTAAAAGAAATCAAGATATATTAAATGCTTAAGGTTACAATTGGTTATGAAGTAAAGTAAGTACACACCCGGTTTGCAGAGTCCACGAGTCCATTATCGTCTTGATTTCGTAATTTCTGGGCAAAGATCCATTGCGATGAGCTGCTTGAGTGAGTGACACCCACAGATCATCCTGTTCTGCATTCTTATAGGTGTACAACTGCAGGTACTGCTTCAAACCGGATCGGAAGGCTTCTTCACCCATAAACAAGTGCATCATTCGCAGTACTGAAGATCCCTTCTGGTAAGAGATTGCATCGAAGCTTTCCTCGATCTCGGTTACCATTTGAATGGGCCTCGAAACTGGGTGACTGCTGACTAGAGAATCCAGACGAAAGGAGGCCATCATGGATTGCAATGAACCTCTGTCCTTTGAGTGCCAATCGGGATGGATGTTGTGTACTCCTAAGCCAGCCACATAAGTGGCGAATCCCTCGTTGAGCCAGAGATCAGTCCACCACTTCATGGTGACCTGTTTGGGAAAAACACTTTTTATAATAAATCTAATACTTTACGAGGAATCCCTTTCATTACCAGATTTCCGAACCACTGATGGGCCAACTCATGGGCCACTACATTGGCGAGGTCCTGTTTGTCCGCCAAAGAAGAGTGACCTTCCGAGAAGAGAAGTGTGGACTCCCTGTAGGTCACCAGACCCCAGTTTTCCATGGCACCGGCACTGAAATCGGGAACTGCTATCTGATCGATTTTGGGCAGTGGAAACTTGATGCCGAAGAACTGTTCATAGTATTGGAGTACTCGGGGTCCAAACTCCGCTGCAAAATCACATTGATCAATGGCATTGGGTCTGGCCCAAGTGCGGAAAAGAGCGCCATTTGGCAGAGTAGAAGGCTTGTTGGCGAAATCGTTAACGGAATAGGCCACCAGGTAAGTGGACATGGGCACTGACTCCTCAAACTGACTCCATACGTAGTTGGGAAGCGATTCACTATAAATTAGAAGTGCATTAGAAGGGTTTTAAATCTCTTTAAATAAACGCTAAAGTAAGAAATACATACTGAGGCTTGGTTTCCTTTATGGGCATATTGCTGAGGGCCGTGAGCTTCTTGTGATAACCCAATGTGACCACAAAGGACGCCTTATAGCTGGGCTCATCGAAGCAGGGAAAGGCCTTTCGAGCCCAAGCAGGTTCAAATTGGGTAGAAGACAACCAACTGAAAAGAGATCCGGGAAATAAATTCGGTAGATTTTAAAGGATTTAAACTCAAAGATTAATAACCCACCGCGTAACGTTGGCAACGGGATCTTTGTAAGAACTTCGGTAATAGCCAAACAGTTGTCGACTTAAATCGGCGGAGAAGGGCAAGCTTAGTTTGTAAACATTTCCAGCCAAAAGTTCCTCACAGGTGTTCAGGATGTAATAGTCTTGGCTGGGATTCACCGACGTGGAGGACACACAGTTATCCTTTCTTCCCTCTCCGCTGACTTGGCGAAGAGTTATCTGGGACTCATCTATGGTCAGGTTCTTTGAGTGCAACGTTATGTTCCTGGTATTTTCCAGGGCTTCAATTAAGATTTTAACTGTCCCGGCAAAGCGCAAATCATCTGGATTTTCCAGAAATGTCAGGATACGCAAGTAATACTTTTGGGGCCTCAAAGCAGTCGGCAATCGGTAGTAGTTGTAACCGGAAACCGAATTCACCGTGGATGAACATAAACCCAGGCCAATGGCCAGTACGAAGAACAGAAACCACTTCATAGTCAAACCTAAAAGAAAAATGGGTGGCATTTATAGGTCAGGCGTTACAAAGTGAACTATTTATAGAAAGTTTTGTTTGAGAACAAGTTGAAAACTATATAATTTGTATTAAAATTAACAGAGAAGTTCAATGAACTAAAAACTTTTAACGTAAATGTGCCAAAAGTGTTTTTATTTATTGAACATGTATCCGATGGACACGGCATTTTCATTTTGTTTACTTTGCTTTGGCAAAAACACTTTTTATTCACATGGCTTATCAAAACATCATAATCATAAACTATAATCAGCTGATCTCGTGAACTTAAGCTCAAACCGGGTTATTATTGCTAATCAGAATATTAAGAGTTAATTAATTGATTATTTTCTATTTAGTTATTTACATTTATAATTTTATTATTATTATTTATTATTAATTGATTTTTATGAAGTATTCATGGGCTACAAAGTTTATTTATTGTTCCGTATTTATTTTAAGTTTCGATGCTTACACACTCTCACATTCTAACCAATATTACCAATTCTTCACACCAATCTGTGATAATAGAATTTTTCTTAAACACTGTAAAAGTTTTAGATCAAAGTTCAGAATCTGCGACAATTTAATAAAACGTGTTTTCTTTAAATGCACTTGTATCACTTCAGGTTTTAAATTTTACGTTAAGAACATGTTGTATGTACATTGGCACTAATTTGTGATTTCACAACTTATTTGTTTATTTAGACAAAAAAAAACAAAAAACTCAACAAATCGAAAGCAACAAGCGGCACTTCTAAACTCACCAGAGGACGGTGACCGAATGCGGTTAGTTCGACGATCGAATCAAGTCTAAAACGTACGGAGAGCACTGTTTTCAGAGAAACCGTAAAGCGAAACAAACATGAAAAATTGAGAGCGTGACTTGGGCGCAGAGATTCATTAACAACTACAAAAGTGGGCTTACCAGGCGTATGCGTAATTCCAAGTCCCATTGCTCTCAGTATTTTTAATTAAAAGTAATATTAATGTATTGTAAAATGTGTACACAAATATATGCAGGAATTCTTAAACATTTATTATTATTTTTTGATTGTTATACCAATACAGTATAGTTTTAGTGAAAACCATTTAAATGCTTACTGGGTTATATCATTGAATCGGAGTAAAATTAGTTCTAGTTCAGGCAAAATAAAGTAAGAACTTACGGCATATAGAACACAGAAAATTAATTTAACCCTTTCGAATTTGTCTTAAATAATATTTTAACGGCTCGTTGAGCTACTTTATTTAAAAGTAGAAAGAGGAAAACATTCATTTTCCCTTACCCATTGAGAAATGCAAAACTCTTCGTTCTTGAGATACACGAATAATACTAGAGTATTAAATAGTTTATTTAAGAGACATTAAACATTCATAATATTCCTGCTGAAATCAAGAGATTCTTTCCTTAATGAGCTGATGAGAGACTGGACTGGGTAAAATCTAGAGGAGCTGCTGGATGGAGCGGGACATCTGGTGATAGTTGCGCTCCTTCCACTGCACATTGGTGAGCATTATCTCCAGTGTCTGCTGGATGGCCTGCTCCAGACCCTTGAGCGACTGCCGGGAGTTGTTGACGAAGTCCTTGAACTCATTGAAGTCGCTCATTGTGATGACCTGCTCGGAAAGCGGTGACAGAAGGCGTGACATGTCCTTGGTGAGCGGATGGTAGCTGGAAAACAATAATCTCTCGCTAAGCATTCCCGAATTTATAAACTGCCAAACTTACAACTTGTAGATAAAGTCAACGTTATCCATGAAATACTTCTTTGCCAGCAGGAAGCCCACCTCGTTGAAGGCGACCGCCTGGAAGGCCCACATCGAGTCCTGCTTGCGGATGGCCTCCTTGGGGTCAAAGGTCAGCTCCAAATACCTCTGCAGCAACCAAACCTCCCTCGAACAACCCAAAGCCGTCAGAATGGTTCGCTTTTCGGCGGCCACATTCGATTTCTTGTAACGCGTCCACAAGAACTCCCAATCAGAGTCGGATCCATGTTTAATCGAAGTGCAGTAAACGGTGCTACGCACATTAATCGGCACCGGGTTCTTCTCATCGGGATTAGCCTCCAACCTCCAGTTGCGATAATAGGCCAATGCCTGGGGCACACAATCCGCCACCTGGTACTGGCACGCCCAATTGACCACCATGGTCTTCAAGAGAACCTGATCCTGCTGCTGAATCGAGCTGAAAGTGTCGTTGATGCCATTCAGGTGTTCATAGATCGGGAAGATCAGCTTCTTCATGTAGCGCTGGATAATGGGTTTTGAAAAAAGAAAGATCATCGGTAAGTACAATAGTCAAAAAACATTTAAAAGGTTTCTCAATCAAGTTTACATACCCGGCACTCGTCTTATTTTAATTTTAATTAATTTCTTATAGGATCTATAGAAATATTATTATATTCTTAATTTACTAAAATGAATCTATAAGTTCCACTTCTTTTTATCCCCTTTTTTTCAAGTGCCGGGTATCTTAAGGTCGATCTACCCGACCACATGATTCTTACTCGATTTTTTACGACACTCTCAGACTTACGACAAAGAACAACTTTTCGTTGGTTACCCATGGCAAGTGTAGTGAGTGGATGGTGTTAGTTGTGAGCAATTTTGAAAGGTTCGTTTCGAAATACAAATGAGAATGTGGTTATACCGAGAGGCAAGTTGTAGAAAGTCCTTCGGATACGTTTAAGGAAGAAGCTGAACCTACCTTGAAGAACTCAAAGTCGGGCGTCTGACGGACAATGCGGCCCACTCGCTTCAGATTCTCGAAGGCCGACTTCCAGGGCAGATACTCTCGCTCCCGCTGCAGATACTCGATCAATCTCATGGCGATCTCGTAGTCCTGTTCCCCGGTCCAGGCCAAATACAAGGCATCATCGATCAGCTGCGCCCGGTTGATCACATGAATGCGCTCGAAATCGCCAGTGGTCAAGGTCTCGATCAGCAGTTTCCAGTTCTGAGCATCGTAGTTGACCTTGTACAGTGTCGACAATTGGGTGTTGAAGATCACCCACTGATCGGCTCCCGGCAGATCCTGAATGGTCTTGGGCAGACTCTCGCCATTCTTGCCGCACTCCATCCAAGCCTTAGGTGTGGTGTTATTGAAGTCCTGCACCGACTGGGTGGTGTAGCTCAAGGGAACCCACCAGCAGCCACCGCGATGAGCTCGGGATATCTGGGTGTTCAGCAAGTAGCGCTCCTGGTTGAGCTTGGCTGTCCTGGCAGCGTAGTCGCGGGTCACATTGATCACGGGGTAACTGAAAATATAATAAACTTTATGAAGTACAAGTTTGAGGTACCCAATTCTATTAAAATCCTACCCCGTTTGCAAAGTCCACGAGTCCATGATGCTCTTAATGTCATAGCTCTTCGGTAGAGCCCGATACTTGTGGGCCGCCTGGGTAAGCGATTCCCAGAGATTATCCTGCTCGGCATTCTTATAGGAGTACTGCTGCAGGTAGGACTGCAGACCCGAGCGGAAGGACTCCTCGCCCAGGAACAAATGCATCATGCGCAGCACTGTCGAACCCTTTTGGTAGGAGATTTGATCGAAGCTCTCGGAGATCTCCGATACCATTTGAATGGGTCTCGAGATGGGATGGCTGCTCTCCAAAGCATCGCGGCGGAAAATGGTCAGCAAGTTGGACAGCGACTCCTGTTCCATGGAACGCCACTCCGGATTGATGTTCTCCACACCCAAGCTGGCCACATAAGTGGCGAATCCCTCGTTGAGCCAGAGGTCAGTCCACCACTTCATGGTGACCTGTTTAGGAAGAACACTTGTAATAATAAATCTAATACTTTACGAGGAATCCCTTTCATTACCAGATTTCCGAACCACTGATGGGCCAACTCATGGGCCACCACACTGGCCACCCTCTGTTTGTCCGCCAGCGAGGAATGGGCTGCCGAGTAGAGCAGAGCGATCTCCCTGTAGGTCACCAGACCCCAGTTCTCCATGGCACCGGCACTGAAATCGGGCACCGCAATCTGATCAATCTTCGGAAGCGGGAATTTGATGCCGAAGAACTGCTCGTAGTATTGCAGAACTTTAGGTCCGAATTCGGCGGCATAATCGCACTGATCGATGGCATTGGGTCTGGCCCAAGTGCGGAAGAGAGCGCTATTTGGCAGAGTCGAGGGTTTGTGGGAGAAGTCGTTGACGGAATAGGCAATCAGGTAGGTGGACATGGGTACGGACTCCTGGAACTCGCACCAAATGTAGTCGGCAAGGGTTTCACTGAAAGAGATAAGTTCATTTATATCAAATCTTATATCAAATCATATATATTTAACTTACTGTGGCTTGGTTTCCTTGACGGGCATATTGCTAAGACCCGTGTATTTCTTATGATATCCCAAAGTCACAACAAAAGGAGCCTTGAAATCGGGCTCATCGAAGCAAGGGAAGGCCAATCTAGCAGAGGCTGGCTCAAACTGGGTGACGGAGATCCATCTGAAACAAGGCATTACCATTATTACCCTTTTCTTACATATTTAGAAGATAAAAAACCCACTTGGTAACATTGGCTACGGGATCCTTGTAGGAACTGCGGTAGTAACCCTCCAGTTGTCGGTTCAAATCGGCGGTAAAGGGCATATACAGTTCGTAGACATTGCCGGCCAAAAGTTCCTGACAGGTATTGAGGATATAGAAGTCGTGGGTGGGATTCACCGACGTGGAGGACACACAGTTATCCTTCTTTCCCTCTCCGCTGACTTGGCGAAGAGTTATCTGGGACTCATCGATGGTCAGGTTCTTCGAGTGCAACGTTATGTTCCTGGTGTTCTCCAGAGCTTCAATCAGAATCTTGACGGAACCCGAAAAGCGAAGGTCCTCCGGGTTCTCCAGCAGGGTCAGGATGCGTAGGTTGTACTTCTGGGGGCGCAGCGAAGTGGGCAGACGATAGTAGTTGTAGGTGGAATCGGAGTCGGCCGTGGCCAATCCCAGGCCAAGGGCCACCACGAACAACAGAAACCACTTCATGACCGATTCTGTGCGAAAAAGAGGAAAAAAAAAACATTTGTTAGCGGGGCGTTCAGGCAGAGCAAACTGAAGCAATTAACTAAATCACTTTGGCAAATCGCAACAGTGGATATCGCTCGACATAAAATGGGCTTTAATATAAATACGATTTCCGATTTGAGTCCCAAGCCTATTATTAAAATTCTTCATTATTATTATTTCAATTTTAATTCACTTGTTATTTGGCTAAACTTTCTCTCATCCAATTAATAATTAACAATTTATTTGTATAAAATAAAAAAAACAATTATAAAAACAACAATGAGCGGGTGGAATGGTTGACTGATGTCTACTGTATAAATCAAACCGCACTTTTTGCTACTTATGCGGTTTCGCTGATTTACTTCAAATTAATGCAAATTGTTTTATTTATTATGTTTTCTTTGCCAGTGTTTATTTTGGCTCGTTATGCCGCTCACGTATTAAGGTCTGGGCCAATGAAACCCGATTGAGACTCTTCTCACAATCCAGCTTTAAGCGCCGGCTACCTGATGTAGTTAAATATATATAGTACAGGGTACCAGGGGTACTGCAAATTATCGAAATATTTATAGTTGATCAGCTGACTTGAAGAGAAAATATTATCCCGTTGCTTGCATACAAGAATTTATGGGAACTTTTCTGTTGGTTCAAATGCTATAAACATCATATTTTAAATATTTACTACAAGTACTAAAATAAACGGACAATACCTATTTGTTTTTTTTTAAGCCTAGGTGTGTCTCTAAATAATGGAGCTGTCATCCAAGTTAGTTTTTAGTCAACTACTTTCCCACGCCTTCCGTTTGTTTGTAAGACTATATTCTCTGTTTATGTTTAACTAATTTATTTTCAAACTTTAAGTACTTGTGGATTTTACTCCCCTTTCAAATGAATATAAATCTCCGGAGCTACACAAAAAAACCCACAAAGCTTCATAATGTAGAATTAAGTAACTTGCAAAAGCCATCAATTTTCTTATCCTAGATCAAGTCTTACCAAGAACCTCCCAAGAAAATAAAAAGGAAACTTGCATACATTTCTTATACTGGATAAACCAGATTGCAATGCCTGCTGGTTTTTTTTTCTGCGCTTCTCTGCTTTTCATTCTTAATTATGCAAAAGTTGTTCTTTATAGGTTCGACTTTCTTGGTTATTTGGTTGCATATGAATAAATGTAAAAGGGGGACAATGAACCTCAAAGATTAGCATATACATATGAAGGAATGGTAACAGAATATTAACTGGGTCCCACACAGATGAGAACAGAAATAGGTGAAATTTTAGAAATTACCATTAAATATTCACAAAATTTAAATTGAAATCGAATCAGTTTAAAATATTTTATTAATTAAAAAAGTTCACTGAATTTATATTTTTACTGATGATAACAGCCAGGAAATTGTTAAAAATATGCAAATAAATTTCCTTATTGACAGACAATAAAAGTGTCCACTGCAAATTGAGTTAAACGCACTTAATAACTTGTTATGATTTCCCATAAATGTCAAACACGTGCTGCCGTGACATTGACTTCTCAATTGATCCCTTTAAATCGAACTGGGAATATATACAATAGCGGCCAAAATAGTAGCATTCAAATCCTGGCCTTTAAGGAAATATTATTTTTTAAGTATTTTAAGTGTTATTCTTTTTAAGTATTTAAGAGTATTTAAATTACAAGTAAGTATTAAGATATTTAATAAATGAATGTATCTTAAAAAAGCCATAAGGTCTCAAATGTAGCCTCATTATTTTGACACCCGCTGTAATTTTGTTTGCTTATTAAACGTAAACTATTTTATTTTGATATTTTCATCACTAATTTAAAAAGTATTTTTAATTTGTGTAATGTTTTTACAGAAGGTTACTTGTTTCTCCAAGTGATAAATTGTGTTTATATAAACATTTACAGCGAGAAGTTTTGGCGTAATTTTAATGCGTTTTGCCAAGTGATAATTTATGGTGCACAGTCCAGCACTTGAAACTTGTTTTCTCTTAATTTTGGGTATGCTTTTTTTCGTAACTGTGTTCTTAACACACTTGTATCACTTTATTCTTTTTTCTGTGTTTTTTTTGTGTGTCTTGTTACTGTCCCGTGATTTTGGGGCTATTTGGCGTTTATTTTTTGGCCGCGATTCTTTTCAAGTTGCACTCTTGAGGTGCTTGACACACAAAGATTCTAAAAACCAACCGTTTCTAGAGCCAGAAAAGCAGGAAAACACTCAGGAGGACGAGGAGCGAATGCGACCTGTTCGACGGTCGACGCGAATCTAAAGTTTACTGAGCGCGTCGCTTTTATCTTATAGTCCGTGGTTACACCGCTCACCCATACAAATGGTGGAAAAAACCGGAGAGCAGTGAAACGTCGACGGCTTAGAGATTGAATCGCTGCTTTGGCGTCGGCGCAGAGAAGCCGAGATTCTTTATTTTTTTTTTTTTGTTTATCATAGAGCATATGTAGTAAAAAGGGAGGCACAAAAAAAAAGTAAATAGCACATGTGTGACCCACACGAAAAACACAGCGGGAGATTGCAATGAAATAATGGCAGGGCTTACCCGGCGTATGCGCAATTTTGATTCACATTGCACACACACATGGCAAAGAGATGTCACTACGTGTTTTTGACCTTAATTGCGCTGATTAACCCATTTCTTTCTATTTCGTATGCCAAAGGCACTTCAGGCACTCGACCCTAGAGTTCACCCACCCACGCAGGTCCCTCGTTTTTGGAAGCCCCCCGGGGCGTAAGTTCCGCAGATAGGAAGGCTTGAAAAGTGGCAAAAACAAACCATAACAAACCAAAGTGCAGACAGACAGATATACAGACACAGCATGAAGGCACACAGGAGGGGGCTTTGGGGGGTTAACCCCTTGGCAAAGAACGATTTTTAAAATAACTATAATTTCTAGTCCTTGATATTATAGCTTTTTCTCTTCATTTCGTATGCATATTAATGTACATAGCTTTTTTATTCTCCTCTTTGTTCTTTATAATCTTTTCTTAGTTTATATATTTAAAGTTACTTTGGTTTGCTTTAATCAAGATTTTACATAATATCACTTTGTATTTAAATTTGTTTTTAAGATTTAATTTTAATTTAATTTTATAGCTTTTTTTAGCCACAAACCGCGTTTGGCTTTTATCCACACATTTTTTGGGATTTATGTATGTTCTGAAAGTTTAAAGGAGGGGAAAAGAAAGCTAAATGGGTGTGGACGGGAATCAAATATAAGCAAAACCAAAAAAAGTAATCAGCTTATGCTTAACTGATTTAATAATTGAAAAAAATGGGAGGGGCTCAACATAAATAAATTAGGTTAAGCTGATCTAGGAAATTTGTAGCAATGCTTTTAATTTATATAAATAAGTCAATTAAATAAATTAAAAATGCCAAAAAGCTAAACTTCTATCTTTTCTAACGACTTAAAACTTAATATGATGTTATTATTATTATTACTTATAGTAACACAAAAAAATTGTTAAAATAAATAACAAACTTAATAAAAGGTAATAATATAATAAATGTAACTTCAGAGCTAAGTAGTCAAACTATTTGCTTCTTAGGAATATAAATATAAATTTCGGTTTCGTGTTTCGACCACTACGAATATGCATCACGTGTCCATCTCTAATTTAAAGCAAAAACAGCAGCAAACTTATTGTATAACAGTGAGGGAAAAAGTCGACTCTGTTATACTCCCTTTTATACGAATTTAGCGCCCTCTGGCTTTCGTATTTTCAACTGCTCGCATTGCGCGCCAAATTCAAAGTGGTAATTCGTGGAAAACCATTAGAGTCCCAAAATCCCGCCTTTATTGCGCTTTTGCCGCCATTCAGAGATAAAAATGCCAGTAATTTCAGTTCTTTTTTAGTCGTGTATTAAGTATATTTAAAATTGATGGTCTTTGTTCAATAATATTGCCTTTTTTGATGCAAAAATAAGCTTTGCTTAAATAATAATCATTACATGGTAAAATATTTGTTTTTCTTGTATGCATTTGCGTTTCGGGGGTTGTTCGGTTACAGATTACATAAAAATAAACAAATAATAAGCGTAAATTGTACCTAGCAGAAGTTTTCAACTTTCAACTCTTAAATAATCGTTCTTAAACATTTAGATGGATGTGGATGTAATCGATGAGCGTGTTTTTTATGATATTTTTGTGTTTTTTTTTGTTTTGTTTTTAGCCATTTTGTTCTGCTTATCATCTACAAATGAATAAGGGGTCTGATTTGGGGATCGGCCTCTTAAATTTAAATGACAGTGTTCCTCACGTGTTTTAGATTATAATGCACATTTTTTGTTTGCTTGTTCGATTGGTTATCTTTAAAATTTGAACTAGAGTGCTTAAATAATTGAACTAAAGCCGAATCCATAAAAACAATAATAACTAAACAAAAGCGTTGAATTCCAAATGAAAATGAAATTGTCTGTTTTGTATGAATGAGAGAGCGAGTGGGTGTGTCTGCGAGAAACTTAGTGTCTACGGATTAACAAATGAAAATCAACAAAAATCAACTTAAAAGCAGCGTGAAATAAATACCCCTATACGTCTACATATATATACAATACGATAACACCCAAATTAAGATAACGATCATCCTACAGCATCAGTCGGGAGCGCGACTTCTTGAGTCGCCCGGTGGCTCCGCCCAGACCATCGCCATTCCAGGACTTGGACTTGGCACGGAAGTGGCGGTAGGCCTCGTTGTAGGCGGGGTCCAACATGGTGCGGTAGGCATGTGGCTCGCAGTGCTCCACATGCGACTCGAAGAACTCCTTGTAGCCGTTGTGCAGCAGATAGATCTCGGGATAGTGCAGCGCCGGATAGGCATTGGTGTTCCGCTCGCGATCCAAGTTCCTCAGGAAGCGGGACATTTTGGGTCCACGCTCCGAGGAGAACTCGCAGTGGAAGATGATAATGTTGCGCTTGGGTCCCGATTCGGCGTTCTGCTGCTGCTGCAGCTCAGTCTGTTGGACGGTGAGGAACTCCTCGAGGATCTGCTCGGTGGTGTACAGATTCTTGGCTCCCTCGATGTGGCCGCCCTCGAATTCGTACGGGTAGCGGCAGTCGATGATCCGGTAGCTGGCCACCTCATCGCTGAATTCGCCCTGCAGCAGGCGAGCCACTGTCTCGCTGGAGATGCTCTTCAGATCCCGATGACGTCCCTCCATCAGGGGCAGGGCATAGGCCTTGCTGAAGTCCCCGATCAACTCGGGCTCGTTGCGGTTCTCGGAGCGGGCCAGGGCGGACATGATCTCGGCATCGTTCAGCGACATGCACTTCCTCAGCGGAGGCGGGTGGCTGGTGCTGCTGGTCGTCGTCACGGGTGCAGGGCAGTTCTCCTTCTCAACGGCGGCGCAACGGTGACGTTTGCTCTGAATGGGCGAGCAGCTGGCCGATGCTGGGGGTTCTGGGCGCTTGAAGCAATCCCGGACAGTCTCTGGGGTCTTTGGTGGTGGGGTGGCGCTGCTGCTGCTGGTGTTGCTCTCCGTCATGCTGAGGCATCGCCTCACCGACGGGCGGCGCATGGATAGGCCAGCTGGCGATTTGGCCGCCGGCTGCTCCTTGATCTGGCCACTGATCAGCGAGTTCAGTCCGCTGGGAAAGCCCAGGGCGGTCTGTTGGCTCTGCGACTCCATTTCGAACAGCTCCAGGTACTCATCGTCCATCGACGATTCCATGGAGCAGGTGGAGGACAGGCTGTTGAAGATGCGGAAGCTGCGAGCCGGTGTGTGGGTTGAGACTTCGCTGGAACCGCCCACTGCGGGCAGGTTCTTGGGCTGGCGGACGATCTGGAAGCGCTGGGGCGAACCCTCCGGCGAGAGCAGACCCATCAGTTCCGGACTGGCCGATCGCTGCTGATCCTGGGGCGCAGAGTCGTCGTCGTAGAACGACAGCTCCTCCTGGTCCATGCTCATCAGTTCCAGGGAACGGCGAGCACGACGAGATCCACTCATTTTGTTGATATTACTGGAGTTGCTGGTGTTACTGAAAGAGCAAATGAAGAGAGGGGGAGGATTAGTCAACTGTTCGGAATCGAGAAACGAGAAAGAGAGCTGGTTTTGCTTCCCTAAACTCTCGAAAGAGCGGGTCATTAAACCCAGCTAAAAATACTGACAAACTGGTGGTGGTGGTGGTGGCGTTGGTGGTGTAAAAACAACAAAAATACCCGAAAAAAATACACAGACAGAGGGGTTGTTGTAAATGGGTGAGAGGGAGCTAAACTGGAAATTTTACAGAAATTGTGAAATTCAATTTGGAAAACTGCCTAAAATTTTTAGGATAGGAACTGAGCAATTTAAAATTGAAATTTTAAGAAATTTTAGGTATTTTTAAGGGCTTGCCACCGCTTAGAATTCTTCATTAAAAGTCAGGGAACCCTACTGCTTCTTCTTCTTCTTGACTCTCGTGCACATTTGCGGTACTCCAAACGGAATTCCCTTTTGCTTTTCGTTGCATCTGCTTTTCAGCCCGACTTTTGGGTCACACGTCACGCAAGCGCAGCGATAATAAAAAACAGCACAAAGAACCGCAAAGAACACGGGGGAAAAGAAAAAATGACTGACTGACGGACAAAACTAATTTTTTCTGTGGGGCTTTTTGTTGTTTCTTTTTTTTGGAGCCTCGCGGAAGCCGGTTTAATGAATGAAAAACGGCAAGCGAACAACAACAACAGCTGAGCGCCAAAAAATCGGGCAAAAAGTAAACGTGCCGAGCGTGATAAAAAACTCTTACTTTTGTTGGCCCCGTCTTTTTTTAATCTTTTTTTTTCGCTGTTGTTCTTGAACTTGCACTTTTCATCGAGTATTTTTAACTGGTATTCCTGGTGCAAAATAGTTTTGCTAATCCTTGGGCGGTATAATTACCTGATATTGCAATCCATGCTGCAGTTGGTTTCCTCCACGATTGTTTCCCACAGCATTTTGTTGGTTTTTGTGTGTGTTGTGTTGGGCGTTTCGAAAAACTGAAGATTTTGATTTCGCAGCGAGTTGTTTTTTTTTGTGGTAGCCGAAAAATTGCTAAAACACAATTTATTCTTGGTCACTCTTCACTCATTTACAGTTGTTGGTTTGATGAGAATTTTGGATGGTAGTCCTTGGTTTTTGGCTAGTATTGCATTGTAGTTGATTTAGTTGGTGTTTTGTTAATGTGTCCGTTTGAGCATGTTTTTTTGGTGTGTGGTTGTGCGAGGGTTTCTGTTAACAATTTTAACCGCACAATCTCAAGCCACCGAACGAGGAACCGAAAGGCAGAACAAGGAGAGCTGTTGACTCGACGACGAACGGTGAACGAATGTGCTGCTCCTCTCCGAGCAGCTGGTTTTTATAACTGCACCCCGGCCGAGGATCGCGAGAGCGCGAGCGGGAGAGCGCGCACAGCTGATGCGGGAGCGAGCGAGTTAGTTAGTGTTTTGTTGTTGCAGGGCGCCTTTTTTTTCTTAGTTCTTGCTCCTTCCTTCGGTTCTTTGATTCCATTCCCAAGAAATAGGCGGCAGAGGGAGACGGGGAGAGCCAGCACATAACGGCGCGTTAGAGTGTGAGACTAAGACCCATGTGCAAAAGCAAGGGAAATAGGTACGGTGAAAAGGGAAAATTGGAAAATCGGAGTCGGGATAATAGGGAATTTGAAATCTCTGCTGCTGCCGCTGCTGTGTGGAGCGATCTCTCTGCAACAGGTAGAACCCAAAAATCCTTCCCCTGCATTTCCCCTTTCCTTGCCAACCCGAGAATATCCCGAGAATCGAGCAGAAGCAGGCGCCTTGGTGGTCGCCAGCTCTATGGAGGCCTCTGATTTTGGCGCGCGAGCTTTTATACACAGACGCGTGGTGCCGAAGTGGAGCCGAAGTCCCCAGAATTGGAGCCGAAGACGCGAACACATGTGAAAATAGTGGAGCCCTCGACGGGCGAGGAGAAAAAGGGGCGAGGAGGAAGCTGAAGAATCGCATCGCGCGAATCTTTAAGCAGAATTTCAAGGCGGCATCGATTGTGTCGTTTGCAGGTAATAATGTGAGATCCACGCATTCCTGGTCTCCCGCAAACCCCCCGAGGCCCCCTCACCTCCTGGGAAGCAAGAAAAAATCAGCAGGTAGTGGCCGCAGTCATATGATCGCCGCACCGGCGGGATGGGGCGGCTGTGGAGGGGGCGTGGCTCCTTTGTGTTCTGCAGACGTAGACGCCAATGTCGTTAAATGAGCAAAGCTTCCAGCCGGAGATCCCATTTACAGGGGAAATCATAAAAAACGAACTGCGGTAATTAAATGGGTAAGTTTTTCTAACAAAAACTTTTTATAAAAGTTAGTTAGTTAGTTTATAAAAGTGAGTACCAGATTACTGTTCATTTAATGCAGTTTTCCCTTTGGAACTTGAATACCAAAAAACACGTGCTAGGTAATCATATCATGAATACTAGATAAACTCATCCAGTGTGTTAAATATCAACGATATGATAAGTAGACGCCAATGTCGTTAAATGAGCAAAGCTTCCAGCCGGAGATCCCATTTACAGGGGAAATCATAAAAAACGAACTGCGGTAATTAAATGGGTAAGTTTTTCTAACAAAAACCTTATTATAAAAGTTAGTTAGTTAGTTTATAAAAGTGAGTACCAGATTACTGTTCATTTAATGCAGTTTTCCCTTTGGAACTTGAATACCAAAAAACACGTGCTAGGTAATATTATCATGAATACTAGATAAACTCATACAGTGTGTTAAATATCAACGATAGGGTTATGATAAGTTTGCCTTACTGAAGTTCGCCTGTAGCTCTGTGTTTGTGTGCAATCGCGGCAAAGTTAAAGCAGAAATCGAGTTACATATGCGCCGAGGCCCTGCGGGAGTCATTTCAGTGGATCCAAGGGGATTTTGTGGGGGTACGAACACCCATGGGCTGCAGTCCAAGTGTGTTTTTGTAAAATCTCCGGCAAACAGAACAGAGACAGCCAAGTGAGACCATCCAATATCATTCACATTACTTCAAACTTTGCCAAACGTAAATGATTTTTTGATGGACCATTGCCCAAACCAACAAATGAGCTACGGTTTCATTCCGCTGAATTCCTTTGGCGAGCTTTTGTTGTTGCTGCAGGAAGAGCCGAGAGGATCATCTTTATGGAAAACAACCAACAAACAGGGCAACAAAAAACAACAAAAAAGGACGCAGAAATCATAAAGTGGTTTTGAACAAGTTAAAAAAGCGCATAGGGGGAAAAAGAAAGAAAAAGCTTCGACCCGATCTCATTCATAGTGAGCCGTGCAAAACAGTGGTTCAAAATTTCAGTTTCTGTCTGGTAAATCAAAAACCACTGTAGTTTGGGGACTGAAATTCTATATTATGGGTATATCAAACCTCTATTTTTTAGGCCCCACGTGTTATGTTGTTTTGGTAGTGATCAAGTTAGTAATTTACCCTTAAGGCCACGTGTTTTACTTACGCTTATAAAAATTCAGATTATTATAGTGTTATCATAGATATATTTTGTACTGTTCTTATCCGTATTTTTTACCCTGCCCAATCATAGTTTTTGGAATTATGGATTTCAGATACCACCGTGATATCGCCAGCCTCCCCAGAATCGGAGAACAGAAAAAGGGCAAAACGGAGAAATCAAAAACGTATGCAAAAAGCACACTCACACACCCGCCTGTTTGGCACACACACATGTGTGTGGGTAAATTTGATAAAGAATGAGAATAGGCTGCGGAGAAAGAAATTGCAGCAACAATGTGAATGGAGCACAACAATAGCGGGGGGACCTGAAAAACCAAAAAAAAATAAAACCACACAGGACCAACAAAAAGTGAAGAGCTAAATTGTAAATCGAAATTCCAAGAAGTGAGCTTTGAGCATCGGTTTTTTTTTAGTTCGTCTGTGTATTAAAAAGCCTGTGAAGTGTGCGAAAAAAAGCGTTTGAGATACTTTTGCGCGCGCGCGCGCATTTCGCAAATCACTGGCAAAAGGGTTAAGGGTGGTGCGGTGGGCAGGAATGGGTTAAAGGCTGGGCGGTCCCCTTTTTTCCCAATATGTGTGTGTATGGCAGACAATGCAATGCAATTAGAAGAAGGCGCAAAGAGGAGCCAAAGATTGGATGTCTATGAAGGTGAGAGATACATATGAATTACCTTTTTCATACTTAAACTTTATTTTACGGTCAATTATAATAAGGATCATCAATACACGCATACTAACTACATATATGTATTCCTTTTCCAGACAAAATCAACCAAAAACCTAGTGAGTCTTTAAGATACATATTTTTGTCAAATATATCGCTAATTAGATACATATTTAATTGAATTTCCCTACTGATTATGTCATAAAAGTACTGCCCCAAAAAATACCTTTTAGATAGACATTTCCCCTACTCTTCCCCCTACTAAATATGAACAAATCTCAGGGGTAAAGGTGTGGACAGGGGAAATCTCGTCCTAGTACATAAGGTGGGCAAAGAAGAGCAGAAGAAAGAACCGCACACAGATACTGATTAGAACCGAAATACCCATGGGCACAGGACGAAGAACAGTTAGACAGGGATAGCGGTTCCCTCTCTCATATGTTCGATCAGCTGATCAGGAGCGAAGGATATAAACAGCAGGGAAACCAAATTAGTCCTGCTGCGTGAGCCAGTGTGTGTGAAGGGGAAAGAGAGTGGGGGGAAGGATAAGAAGGAGCGTTCACAACATGCCCGCGCAAATTCCTTAACACGAGCTGAGAAACAGAGAGAGAGAGGGAGAGCATAGAGGGGGTGGGGGCAGGCAGAAGGACGAAGGAGGCGCGGTGCTGAGATTTCTCGGGAGAAAGAGAAGCGGAGAAGTGCAGCGCTGCCAAAGAAGTAGGTGAAGAGCAGGGAATATACTTGGATTTTTTGTTTTTGCGCCAAAACCTTTTTCGTACTAGTGTGCGTATTCTTGTGTGCAGGACTCGTTTCGGTGGGAAAGAGAGGGGGCGAGCGAGGAGTTCGATCGATCTGTATTCTGTTTATCTTTCGCTGCCTTCTTCTCTGACCGTGATTTCTTGCAGTTGTTGTCTTTTTGCCTTTTTGTTATATGTATTTTTTTAGTCGCATTCTGTTCGTTTTTCTCGTCTACAAACTGATTGTGAGAAATATTGTATCTTCGAGATACATTTCGTTACTTGACTTTCCGCTGTTGCGTGTCGTTCCTCTTTAATTTTTCATTTTTCATCTCACTTTGCCTTTATGGTCTTGCCCCACTAATTGATTCTCTGCATAAATTTTATTTAAAGCTTTAATAAATGTCAAAATAAGCAATTCATTTCGATGTTAGAGAACGCACACCCATATACTATATATTCGTTCGGGCGGTCTCCATTGTCCGTGGAATGAAGCTCTCTCCCGGACAATCAATTGCCGGGTTCAGAGTTTAAATGTGAAAGAAAGCTGAAAAAGAGGAAATCAATTGTCCATTAGTGCTGAATGGGATCTGGCCGGGATCTCCATGGGTGGGTGTTGTGTCATCATGTGATTTGTGGGAAAGGAAGTTACCGTAATGAACAGGAAGGCGGGGGACTTGATTGCTGGGTTTAAGCTTGGTGGGCTTTAAGAATCGTTAGCCTCTGCAAAGGAAGACTATAAAAATCTTTAACGATCCCTATAAAATGGGTTTCAACTGCATCCTAAGCATATAAATATTATAATGCATCACCAACATATTTTCCAATGTCCCTTTGTTGCTTTTTCATAAATTCAAATATTTATAAAGCTATTCCTATGATAAAGCACTATCCAAAAATATGTTTAACAATTGTTAAATAAATGATATGGATCTGAAAAATTTTCCTAGGGCTTTAGGAACACTTGGGTCCCTGATAAGCTGGGTTTTCTCCCCAAGTTCCGATGATGCAGTTGTTTGTTTGTTGGCACAGCTCTATGCAAATGTTTTTTATAGCATTGTTGAATGATATGAAAGTTATGGCGCTCGTATCTGAACTATACAGCAGCCTCAGGAAGTACTAATCAACGTTATTCCTCTGTTCCGTCGCTCTCCGTATATATTTTTAACGGCTGGGCGGTTCAACAAAAGTTATTATTGTGTGGCAACATCGGTGAGTGGGGAATGCGGGGAGTTCCGTATGTAGATCAACATACATTCGCTGTTCGCGCTCCTCTAATAAGCGAACAATGTTCTTGACATGCTTAGATATGGCACATGAATTTCATGCTCTTTGGAGGGGGTATCATAATTTTTTACAGAGTTTTGCCAAAAAAATCTAGAAATAATATTGAACTAAACATAAACATACCTTTAAAATATGAATAAAGAAACAAGAATATCTGTTAAAATATATTTTAAAATAATTTTGTGAATCTATTATAGCTTTACCGCCCAAGGGTATCCAAACTTCGATCATTAAAAACCATTCCAACTTTTATGTTTATTTGAATATTTTTATGAGTTGCGCGCATTTCAATTCGATTTTGATATGCCTGTCGCACATATTGGGGTTTCCAGGCCAGTTCGGGGTGATGCGAAAATAAAGATTAGATTGGAATCCGAATAGGGCTCATCTGCCTGCCACATTGCTGCCAGGCGAGAGAAAAGCCAAGCGATGAGACCCCATCAAAGAGCACACGCTGAGTGCCACTTGAGTTTCCCAGGCCTCCTCGTTCTTCGGTAACTCCAATGATATCTATTTTTCATTGGCAAGGTTTCCCACAGCACCCCCTCCCGGCTTTTGGCTAGCTCGATATATATTGGCAAACACACAATTAGTTTGTGTTTTACTGGCAATTTTCTATATAATTTGAATAGTAGCAGCGGCCGTTCCTTTGTCCCGGTCAAGTGGATGGTCATTTATTCAGGACCCGGCACATGGTCGTTCCTTTCTTCCCACTCCGCACGGTTTTGTTTTCGCCAAAAAGCAATTTGGGTCACAATGTGTGCAACAACACAACTAAAACAAGTGCCACACAATGAAACAGTTTTGATCTCCTGGCCGTGCGGCAAATGTCCTTCCCTACAAATGTCCGACGGTCAGTGCAAAAATACTGTTGTTCTTGTCACATGCAATCGGACCGATTTGGTTCCCACACAGCAGGATCATTTGGGATCATTCCTTTCTCTCGGTTTTTTACGAGCCTCGGATGACTTCTCAAGTGCCTCGACTTTTTGGCGCGCAAATCTCCGGCTATGTGGCCCAGATATAGGGGTTCTTAAAATAGCATCCACAGTAACCTTGTCGCCAAGCGGCAAGATAAGAGTTTTGTATAAGTTATGATTGCCTTGGGGGACCAATGATGCAATCTTGCGATTTGCGATTTCCGATAAAGTCAGGTCCCATTTGTAGGATTTATGTTAATTAAAGCGGAGATATAATAATAATAAAAGTTAATGTAGTGCCTGACCAATCAAATATTTCATCCCAATGATATAAAACCCTATCGTCGGCATTGATTTCTTGATCTTAAAATCCCTGGCTATAACAATAAACCCCCCGGCTTGTGATCTATTGCTCACCCCTTTGATGATGGTCAATATTTTATTTGTATATTAATATCAGCCACGCGACTGGCCCACGAACTGACCACTGGTCAAGCTAATTTCCCGGACCAAGCCAATTTCCAGATAGCCTTGGGAAATGTCGGAAATTAATCAAGAAAAAGGATATAGAGGGTTGCGTTGGCCGGTGGCGAATCCTTTTTACCCCGATCCCTACATGTATGCACAGCATGTAATTAATTGATTAACGTTCTTAGGGATAACATTATATTCCCGAGATTGATGTGAGCCGATCTTATCGCGTTACAAACTCGAAAGCGGCGCAGCCTTCAACACATTTGGCCCAACCCTTTAGCATCGGCGATTTGTTTTTCCCCTTTTTCTTTGGCCAGTTCAGATCTGGGACAATGAATATGGGATAAGATGATGAGGGAGGGAGGGAGGGTTTGGAGGAGAAGTTTTGGGCATCTCTGGATCCACTCGAGAAAGCTGATCTTGATCTTCATCTTTTTTTTTCATGTTGCCTAATGCGCAGTTCTTGTGGTTCTCGGAAATAGTCGGACTTTTGACAAATTCCCCATGACACGACGGGGAAATCAGTCAAAAAAATGATCTTAAGCATGTCCTGGTCCAGTGATTTTTCAATGTCTCGCCGAATTACACAGCACATTAGACGACATCGATGTGCTCGTGGTTGTTGCATAATCAGAAAGCGGTATTTCCCTCAGGCAGCTGCACCCATTTCGCACCATTTCCATTCCCAGACAGGACAGGATAGGATGGGATAGG